CAATGGCGACAAGTGGAGGGGTATAGGGTGACTTGGTTCGAGTCAAAGTTTGGCAATTATGGCGACCGCATGTCTGAGAGAGGCGGTACACTCATTACCAACTGAAACTCAACTCGTCTAGATTAAAAGTCGAAGAGACACGGGTCCTGGGGAATACTGCGGTAGGATACATTGCAAGAGCTAATATCAGCGTTGGAACGTCTGAGCAAATACTTGTAAACGGACAGTGTGAGTGTCCCCTATAATCTATTTACTCAAATAAAGTTTCGCGATGGATTCGACACATGTGTATTATAGATATATAGATATATAAACCAAGAAAACAAATAGAGACAAATGTCTTTAAATTAACAAGTCGTGGAACGGGGCACAACTTCAGTAACTAACTAGCTCAGTCCGCCTCTCCGCGTCGTATTTCAAGACAATGTCTGAACAAACACTGTAGTTACTACCCCAATGGTTCAAGTATTCTCTCATCAGTAATATAACTAGTATGTTTAAATATAGATGTACCTAGAACTAGAACTAATTTAAACTATAGAGTGAGCATAAACTATAACATAAATATTGGTTTATATTGGTAGAATTTAATTCTAAAGGAATAATTTCATTACAGGAGATAAACTATTTGTTAACATGTCGGATTAGTTGAAATAAATTATTTAATTGTGTTTGACAGTAAATTACGCGGTTTCATATTTTTAGTATCGTATTTCAATACAGTTTTGGTATAATTTTTGGGTTCGATTACGTTGATAGTTGCCCAATATATAGTTGTTCTCATCTTACATGTACAAACAACGAATATTTAGTTATATTTTATTATATACCAATATGCCTTACTACATTTTACTATATTAAAAAACATCAATAATACTTATTTCCGATATATATATATAGTATATAAACTTTGATGGTGTAGTATTTAGATAGTATACTGTATGTAGGCTACCTCATTTTCTCTAATTGGTCGCAAGTCCGAGATGAATATATCACAAAGTATTTCACTAAAATATATGTCACAACATATAAACAGGTATTAGTTATAATGGCTGTAGTTGAGTATGATATTCTGAAGATATAAATCAGCAATCTGAGTTTTGACACAATGAATCGAGATTAATTCAAATATAACAAATGGGTGACACATATTCGATAGTATTTGCCTTTTATCGGCATTATTTCGCAGAAACATATTCTATTGACAAGTCGATATTATTTATTTACATTCGCATAATACTACTTCGAATCGACTATTTCAGAATACCATTTTACATATTTTGATATCATTTTCTCTTTTTGATTCATAACAGATATATTTACATGAAAACGATACTGTTATTGTAAGAATAAAAACCAAATTTGTAATTATTAAATATTTAAAGTTAATTACTATTAATAAATTCTTTCGCTGATTCGCGATTTGAGCGTCTACCGTGCTTAATGTCGATTAAGAGAATATGTCTAAATAAATAAATTGAATTCAATTAAATTCCATTCAGCAGTCAGCCTGCAGGTGCTTCATTTAATACGAAACTTTGAATATGTCATATTTGTACGTGACGGTAGAGATTGTTATAAAAATCTAAACTTGCGTAAGTGGTAATAAAATGTTCTATTAGATTCTCAATAAAAAGACCACCATCAGATACGAGTAGTGACATGGACCTCAACTCAAAGCCTATAGAGCCGAACACCGAAATAACATGTAAAGCCTTGTATTACGACGTACTCTTAAATGCTCTATAATAGCTCATCACATAAGCGTATCGTAAAAAGCAAGTGGGGCTGAATAATAAGGCAATGCCCTAAACACCGCTTTCCCAAGCAGAAACGAACTCGACAACGAACATAGAATATTATCCGTCACTTGATTTAAAAATATACAGAACTAACGGGATACGAATTCTATTCTATTAACCCTGAGGGCACCCTGTAACTCTGATGAATTGCTATTGGATCCTAATCGTAATCGTGGGTATCAGGCCCATCTTGATTATTGGCTGTTTTAATACCTACTATCTCGATCGCCTGTTAAAAGCCAGGACTAATGGCTTAAATTGCCTTCCCCCTACGAGAAGGACTATTACTACGTGTTGTGACCACTTACTATTCTTTTCGACTATATAGTACAGTACTATTATACCGCTATAGTTATTTACCGCGACTCCATTTTTTTTTAGATAAAATGAAACTTACGCTAAGGAAGGCCTTCATACAATTTATCTTCAAACCTTTCATTTAGATCCGTTCAGCTGACAGACACATAGACGTTTATAATTTCATCGCGAAAGGTTTACTATTAAAATTAAGTATTCTTATCTAATGTCTTTTCGTTTTTCTGTCATAAAGGTGAAATGTTTTTACAGGTAACAACCACGTAATAAAATCATGACGAGGCGGAAACTGTCTGTTTGTATGTTAATGTTTCACGTAAAAATAGGTGGAAAAATTACTATGAAATTTTCACAGAACATATTGTTAAATATGGATCAACATATAAGATTGAAAAAGCTGGAAAAAATATCCCAAGCGCGCAATACATAAATTTTGTGAAAGTTTTCAATACGGCTACAAGTTTACTAATTATATACTTAATCTAATAATAGATGGCATCGTATTCATGCTTTATTTATTGTTGCCGTTTTATCTTACCTTTAATAGATGGTGGCTTACAAACGTAAACGCATAGGAACTCGCGTTCACCATTAGTAAGTTCTTATAACTGCGAGGATATAAAATGTGTATCTTTAAGTATATATATGTATGTATTTACATATATTATTTATGTATCAGTTCTGTTGTTATGTGCACCACCTACTCTTTTTTTTACATATCTTCTCCGTCTACCTAAAGGTTATCTGTAAGAGATTGCTCTGCCTTAAGACCGCCTTTTCTACTTGTTATTGTTTATATATATATTTCTATATTAATTAATATTTTTCTATATCTGGTACAATAAAGTGCATAAATAAAATAAATCTTGATATTATGTACCGAAGTAAGATATACCTATAAGAAATAGACGCAGTAGAAATAGGGGCTGCATTCAAGAATATGTATAGTTATGGAATAATAGTTCAAAGAAGGTAGCCCCAAACGTAGTATGCATAAAGATTCATTTCCTGCTCGAAAAATGCGACTGCCCTAATGTCTAAGTACCCTTCTAGGAAAAACCACAGCCAAATGACATTACTTTGCAGCGCTATGTAGCTGTGGTCAGAAACCACAAAGCAGCGGACAGTTTGCAATTGATTACAGTCATGTGCAGCGCATGATGTTGTAGGTATTGTTCAGGATAACTACTATGTGCTTACTTTTTGTCCTACGTTAAATAAATATCGTGTTATTTTAGTTAGTAGTCACAGTATAAGTCTTTCTTTTGTTGAATGCTTAGATGTTTTACGATTTGCTACAATGTATTACTTTACTAATGTGTACGGGTTCACTTTTCGTACAGAAATGAACTTATTTATTATGTCGTCACAAGTAAATCAGTTTTTATTGAGCTGGGTTCAAATTACATGTTAAAAAAATATTCCTACAAGATATCGAGCTTCTATTATATGAGTTCTGTTTAGATATATATAATGCTGTATAAATTAGCTATAATTTGATGATTATAATAGTACTAGCTGTACCCGCGACTTCGTCCGCGTAAATTAGTGACCTTGACCAAATAATGAAAAAAATATTTAATGACCTAACACTATAAAATCCAAATGAAAAATCCTTTTTGCTTCAAAAATGTCGACACTTCATACATAACTTACATACACTTAATACATAACTCTTTCAACCCCTTATAACTCTTTTTATAAATATATATTGAATAAATAGGCTAAAAATTAAACTTCAAGCTTCTAGCTTTAAAAATGTCAATATTTCCATATAACCATTTAACTCTCCTTTAAAATCTTTACAACCCATTTTTCTTTTTCAAGTTTCAAGCTTCTGGCTTCAAAAACTTTCATCCCCTATTTTATTTTACCACCTTAAGGGTAACATTTTTATAAACTTTGATAACCTATTTATTTATATTTAATCAACAGCCTAAAACATCTGTTTCTAGCTTCAAAAATGACGAATTTACATAAAAAAAATTATCCCCTAAATTATTTAAGGGTAAAATTTTAAAAATTTTACGTCATAATTATTTTTATTTAATTAGCAGCCACAAAAATAAGTTTCAATCTTCTAACTTCAATAATTACGATTCTTCCATACAATCTTTCATCCTCAATTTCAACCCCTTACAACCCTCGCATTAAAAAGTATCCTATATCCTTTGTCAGGGTCTAGACTATCTGTGAACCAAATTTCATTTAAATCGGTTCAGTAGTTTTGGCGTGAAAGAGAGACAGACAGACAGAGTTACTTTCGCATTTATAATATTAGTAAGGAAGTAAGGATGATTCTGTGTTCCTGTTCCATTTATTTCTATAAACAAACATTAAATAATATGGGGTAAGTATGAAAATGTTCTTATTTCCTCAGTCTTTCCCATTTAAAAGAGAACTTGGAACAAAACTTCAATTCAGTTCCATAGCTAAAATAGGTTTTTATTATAATTATATTATATCACACACCATTACCACTTTCTGTTTTTTTTCCATCTACTCGAAGGTTGTTGAAGACATTTCTCGAAAAGTAAAGAACCTTCTGTTATCATTTCAGATTTTTTCTCTGTTAAATTCTTATATTACGTCTTTGGTGCACTAAAAAGTTAGTACATAACTGAGCGGAGCGCGAAGCGCGGAGCGATTTCAGAGAACAGATCTGCACTCTTTGTAACGATACTACTCCGATATGACTTGACCGATCGAAACCAAAATTTCATCGAAGGTCGACTTTCCAGCCTCCATAGGTCAAGGTCGAGTTTCGCGCGATCCGCTCAACATGTGACCCGGTATGTAAACAACACAGGTAACAAACCTAGTTAAATATGTTTATAGTGCACGCTCGATGAATAAGGGTGAGAGTTATAGTGGTGGACTGACCTGCAGACTGGGGTGTACGCCGAGCTGCAGCAGCGTCCTGACGACGCCCAGGTGGCCCTTGTTGACAGCGATGTGCAGCGGCGTCTGGCGGCGGCGGTTGCGGGCGTTGAGGTCGGCGGCGGCGGCGTGCAGCGCGCGCAAGGCGGCCGGCTCGTCGCCGAACGCGGCGTGGTGCGCGGCGCGGTCCCCGTCGCGGTCCTCGGCGTCCGCCTCCGCGCCCAGCTCCACCAGCGTGCGGATCACTTCTACGTGACCGTTCTGGGCGGCCGCCTGTATACATTAAATGAGTTAACATTAATCTTTAAAGATAGATTTGCCGTTTTGCACACCGCCTTACTTCCGATAATTGCGGGATCGATAAATCACAGCACAAACATTTTCGTTCATGAGTATGATTGTTTGTATCAGTTTGGGTGTTTTCTATGTTTGTATTTTATAATATGTACGTATTTACGAAAAAAATATCTATATAGTTGTATCAGTTACCCATAATACAAGCTTTAGTTACTTTAACTTGGGACTAGATGGCGCTGTGTGAATTGTCCTGAGATAATTAGTATTGTTATAATAGATGAATAAAATATTCATATCCATCCCGCACGACATGAAAAATCGAAGGAAAAACCACAAAACTGACCGACACCAAAATGTAAATTGAGAATGGTTACTCAACTTACATTTCTGAACGAGTCTTCAGTGAAAAAACATCGACATTAAACCAAAAATTAATCCCGAGTGTGGGTGGTAGATTCAAACAAATATAGCAAGCAAAATGTGGACTTGTCAAGTCTGCACTCCAGTATTTTTATTTTGTAAAAAAAAGTAAACCTCTCTATTCTATCTCGCCTTCGCGATAATAATTGTTTAACATTCCTATTATGAGGACACTTTACGTAAATAAACACAAAATACATTCTTTTATTTCAGGAAGTATACCTGCAAAGCAGTATGGCCACCATAGACGCCGTTGACGTCAGCATGAGCGCCGTCTGTTCGCGCCAAGATTTCTGAACACCGCGCCGCATCGCCGTTGGCAGCCGCCTTCACTAGCTCTTCGTTTGCGTCCCCCGTCGTCACGTGAGATTCGAATAGGGTTTTTAAGAGCGCTGACAGACGCTCGCCTAATAGAAAAATATTTATTTACTAATTTTAACTCACAACTTCTTCCGCATGACTGGGATAAAAAGTATCCTGCATGTATGCATATATCCATTTATTACAATGTGTATGCCATATTTTATATGTTTCAACCCATTAAAGTGACAAACAAATACACATATATATTAAAGTTATGAGTAGTTCCAGCTCAATGTTGATCTATCAGTGATATTAACGAACTGTAGATTGATTAAGAAAGACAGCGTTGAATAATGTGACTTCATATAATGAAGAGGTCCAGTCATATGTCATGATTCACTCCACCGCTTGTGATAAAATATGACCAATGATTACTAAATTTTAAAATTTCTTTGAAATCGGTTAACTGTTATGTTATGCATGAATAAGGTTCTAACAGCAAAATCATCCCTACACACTGGAACCTAAGTGATCTCAGACAATGTCTTCCTCCCGCGCACACTTGTTTGTGGAATTAACTACCTGCCGACGTTTTCTCGAGAGACTACAGCATGGGGTTTTTCAAGAATGGTATTTTATTGTTTCTGAAGGAACGGCAACGCGCACGTTACACCCCTGGTGTTTCAGGCGTACATAGGCTACGGTAACCATTTACCGTTTTTTAGATTGGCCGTATGCTTTTTGCCACCTAAGTAGTATAAAAAGAAGTTGAGTTTAATTTCTTCATGTTTGAGAAAATTATTTTAAATATATTATTACCTGACGAGTTCCCTGGTACGCTGCCATCAGAAGAAGCAACCTTTGTGACAGCATTAGGATTGTAAGTCCATGATGTGTTGCATACTTCTACTTTAAGATCGTTGTCGTGATAAATTTGCTGCACACGACCTATTTTGCCTAGTGTCTAAAACGAAAGGAAAATATTTTGTATATTTTATTGTTATAAATGTGTTTGTAAATTTCCATTAAATATATAAATAAGCATAGGCATGTTAAAAAATAAAGAGATTAATTTATTTATCTTGGTTCCTATATTTTAATTGTAAATAATAACCAGCTAAAAATTAAATAAAGCAAAATGGTATACAAATATCGTTTACTTCTCGATTACATTTCATATTACTATAGTATAAATACATACAGGTGCCATAGCCTCGGCCCACTCGCCATGCCCGCGCTGCAGCGCTTTGACTCGCTCCTGATCGGAGCTGACCTGCACCAGATCGCCCACAGCGAACCCGCCGGGGACACCGCTCGCTGACGCTGATGCACTCAAATTTGCGCCACATACCTAAATAAAAAAGAGAGGGTACAGTACTAACAAACCCCTTTCCGTCTATATAATTACAACTTATCATCTGGAGGATTATCAGCTTCCGCTTGCTTGTTTGCCATTCCAATTATTATACATAGTACAATTGAAGAAAAATTACCTTGGTTAAAACAGCAGGATTGAAAGTCCATCTATTACCACTGGTGTATGTAACAACAATATCATGGTCTTCATCAATACCAACGACAGTTCCTGTGGAGCCAAGGCACTCAAACATGCCATCTGTCCAACCGCCATGTCCATGTTGTAATGACTGTACTATCTCCAAATCTAGGTCTACATTCACCTGAAAATAAATAATGAAAACATTTTGTCATATATTTAGGTGATTTAAAAAACATACTACATAAATAATATTATTTTATTACTATTGTTTTTGAAGGCATACCTATGCCTATATATATACCTATGCCTTCAAAAACAATAGTAATTATTATTGATGTAAGATACCCATAAGATTAAAAAATTTAGTCCCAAAATATTTAAAAATTAAATATGTTACAAATATATTGTTTACAACTTACAATGTTTACAACAATAATTATTATGATACTTTACATAACATCTAATATGAATCATCAAGAGAATATAAACCTTGATGCAAAGATATATGTATATGAAATTGACTACACACACAATATGACAACCCATCAACTCATAGTAGGATGTATAATATTACCTGATCACCAACTTGCAAGCCATGAGGGCCAGTACGTCCTGGACCTAATTCTCCCAATAATGGCAAATGTTCTTTATAAACATTCTGGCCTTTAACATCGTTTACAACCTGTACAACATATAACATCGCTATATTATACTTGTATTATTCATAGACAATTCCAAAAAATATAATAAAAGTTAATTATTAGTAAAAAAAAATTATCTAGTGGATTTTCTTTACATAAACAAACAACCATACTTATGAACATGATTGTTTGTAATGTGTGAGTAATCTATGGTCACCACACCGTCATAATATTATGTAAACGCAAATTAAAAAAGTTCCAAAAGTGATTGTAATAAATATCTGATCTGGATATTTATTACATATAATTAATAATGATCCACAAATATTTGTTTCGTGAAGAATTGAAATCATCTGATGTAAGATTTATGCTAAATTACAAGACCACTGAGGTTATCTATATGTTACAAGTTTCAATAAATAATAACCTTTGATTATTTTTTTTATATTTTTACCTTCAAATCAGCCATTCCCTCAAAGCCAACTCTATATAAATTTTTGGTTCCATTGTCCCACACAACATAGGCAGCTGACCTAGGACTAGCTGCTGACCAATCCTGTACCTCATTTACTTTCCCTCTTCTACCATTTCCGCCATCCTGATCTTCCCACTGCCAATCCACCTGTAACATAATAATAATTACTTTTTAATATTGTAGTTATATTAAATATTTTTTAAAAATTACTCAGTCAAATTCAATTTCGCAATATTTTATACTGTTTTCAATTTGACTCAGACATTATTTATACACATAATAAAGAAAAATACTAATCAAACAATTGTTGCTGTAATATTGTATATTGATATGAATTTATTATTGTTACTGTGTCTATAAAAGATTATAACCCATTATCATACTACAGTTTTAAATAGTTAAAATCATAAATGCCACATAAAACGGTTAGCAATGGGGACTAGCAACCCCATTGCTAGCAAATGTACAATGTTGACTTTCATGTCACGCACTCCATGGGTTAATTTTCCCCGAAAAATTTAACCTCACAAGATTTTATCATCTATCTATACATATAAATAAAATTAGTCTAATTGAATAAAACTGTCTGTTTGTAATATAAAAATAACTGTTTTTTACTACATGCATATGAATACAGTACATACATCAAAATAACATTTTTTTATAATATTTGTCTGTCTGTTTGTCTGTTTGTTCCGGCTAATCTCTGACGTGGCTGGACTGATCTTGGCAGGTAGCTGATGTAATAAGGAGAATTCCATGCGGTTGTAGTTACGGCTACAGCTAGTTTATTACTAATATCACTAACATATACCATTACCAAAGTTGAGTATATCACCATTTGTAATTACAAAAAAATTATATAAGATAAAATAATACTCACTCCTCTAACAACTCTAGCACCAGGAAAAATACCTCTAACAGCCTGTTTTTTACTCTTTCTTCGAGGTTCAACAAGGCAACGCTGAGCTCCTGGAGCACTAATGCGGTAAAATCTATGTCTCAAATGATGCTTGTCCCCATGATAGCACACAGAACAAAGGTCATAATTACTACATTCTGCACATTTCCATCGAATACCTAGAAATGAATATATGATAGTAATGCAGTATTTGATTCATAATAATTTATTTATTTAAATATTTTTATCTAACATACTTAATACTCTAAGGCAATAGTATTACCAATCAACAATTAAAACTGATAAGACAAATGCTTTGGTACTATGTATATATATTATGTACCTAGTCCAGAAAAGGTCTACAATGAAAAATTATATACAAATGAATCCTTTTCTAAAAAACACCATATATGTATTATTATAAATATTACATAATTAGGCAAACTAAATATAAGTTATAGTTTCCTTAAGGATATAGTAACTGAATATACAATTGTTTATAAATAGTTTTTATTATTAAAAATAAATTAACTTTCCTATCTATTCACTATGCCACTTCAGAATTACATAAATAATGATTAATGAATATTACAAATTATGTTACTTAAATAAATTCAATTGTCAAATTATGTTTATCTTTTAAATTACTATTAAGTATGTATTAATGATTTGGGTTTTCAAATAACTTTAAGAAAACTTTAGCAAAATAGAAGACAAAATTGTCTCTTTCTAGCCATTTTAATTTAGAATAGGTAAAACTATATCTTACCAAAAATTGGTTGCTGGCGGCAAGTATCACACATAGTTCCCTCATGTTTAACTCCTGTTGGTGCACTATCCAGTATCCGCAAATCATAAGCTCCAGAACATCTATAATTGGCAGCAGTCCCATTATCCCACACAACAACAACTTCTTCTGGGGATTCAAAATTTCTTACTGTGCCTACATGTCCTTCTCCACCATCCTATTAAATCAAAACAAAGAAATTTCATATAGTTTGTACAAAACAATATATTTGTTTGTATAAAGAACAGTTATTTACTATGTTAAATAAACTAGATTCGTTAAACTAAAAAAATTGTGGGATACCTGTTTGCCCCACTTCCAATCTGGACCTCGTATTACGCGAGCTCCAACACCTTCCATCATAAATCGTGTCGCTCTGGAAGATGCTGAAGAACCAGGTATGTTTGGTTCCATTATTATTTAAATTATGATGCCAATGATGTTAATTAACAATTACTCAAAAATGTTTATAAAGTCAAGAAAAGAACAATATTCCTTCAAAACAGTCGAATCAAAACACAGTACACATTATCAAAAACTTTTTTGACAGTTTTGACATTCTTCGAAATGACAATGACAGCAACAGCCAATACAAACAGAAAACTTAAAATTTAAGCTTAATTAAGCTTGCATGAGGGCACAAATTTATCCTATAGAATCATTAAAAAAACTACTAAAAACTAAGGTACCTACTAAGAAAATTCGCGGAGTTACTTTGGCCTTAAACACTTCAATATGAACTAGAACGGGCGCGGTCGGGGAACGGTACTCCGCTTACTTTTATTTGATTCTACACTTTGGCTTTGACTTTGACTTAAAATGATAAGAAATATTGATATCTGTATTTTTATACCTAAATTAATACAACTGACAATGGCATCCCTCTAGGAGGGTGAAAGATGGGACCTCGGGGTTACTAAAAATAAAAAAAAAAACAAAGATAGCCTAATATATGGTGACAGCTGAGTAGAAATGCAAATGAAAAAAATTTACTTCATCCTTAATACTATAAGGACGCTCTATTTGTATTTTATAATGTAATTGTTTGGCTGAAAGGAAATTTCCAGGGCCGTAAAAATACCTAATAAAAAATAACATTTTTTTTTCTTTGGCAAGAGGCTAGTGTTGCCTATTATGCCACTAAAAACAGGAAACGAGACGGGATAATGGAAAGAAACGGGTTAAACTTTGTTATTATGGGAAATAAAAGACGCAAGAGATTTATAAATTATAGGACTAGGATGAGCTAATAGGCATACAATGGATGAAGGAAAAGGAATTTCTAATGAGATGAGTGTCTCTATAAATGAAGAACGATCGTAAGAGGAGCAGGAAAACACAATATGATTTAGATCCCCCACATCTTCTCCACATTCACAGATATTATTGTCTTTTATACGTAGTTTTGTTAAATGTTCAGGGCTGCAAACATGACCAATTCGCATACGAATCAAAACACTAGTTGATCTTTTATCAAGATGTAATTTGAAAAACCACGGTTTAAGAGGTATAAACGGTTGGATTAAACAATTATTGCTGCGATTGATCACAGATTGACTTCATCACAAAATGACATTGATACTGACAACTTAATTGTTATTTTTATTTTATTAGAATTTACATGTAAAATTAGAAGAAATAATACAATATTGATTAAGATTCCGTGATTAATACTTTGTGATTTTATTTATTAATTATATGCAATACCTAAAGATTAAAAAAGCTGATTGCAATCAATTACTATTAATTTAAAGAAATATTTAACCGTAAATCATGTCTCACAACCGTAATAAATATGAAAAAGCTCGAAGACGACTGGCTGCAGTTACATTTTTGTCAAATATTTCCTTAGATGGTACCTTCAGAGATACAGAATTGACTAAAATAATTGATAAACCATCAAAGACTGATAAATCGATCACGCCGTCTAAAGTTATTGATAATTCTAACATTGACAAAGATGTTTCGCGTAATGGTATCCGTAATAAAAACAAAGCTCCACAATCAAGCCCTGTACATCGTCTGGCTGCCGATAACCATTCCATGAGTTCAGAATCTGAGCACACTACAGTTACTCCGACTAAAGGAGTTGTAACGCAATCTTTCAGGGAAAGGTATATATTCATTCTCATAATTTACATTTAAAAAGGGAATTTGTGTGTTACTTCTTAACCCTTAAGGTATAAACCTTTAAATTATCACCACAATTAGTCATTAATTTGATCCAATTATCATTATAAATGATAGATAAAAATTAGAGCACTATTAAAATTATGTTTTATATGAAACATAATTTTAATAGTGTTCTAATTGTGATAAGTATTTTAGTGATATTATACCATGACATTATGATAAGTATTTTTTTTATTTTCTTCAATATAACAATACCCACTTTGTTTATGTTACATTTTTCTGTACATTTTTCAATAAAATAATAAATAAATATATTATCAAGACTATTTCCATATGGAATAAGTAATTGGAAGCATTATCAGCTGTTGATGTTGTGTGTGACCACAATTCATCAGAAGAACTAATTTATTTCAATTTCTTAATTGATGAAATTATATTTTACCGCAACAAAGCTAACAAATACTCACTACTATTTGCAATGCATACAGATGTTCTTCAGGAAATACAGAATCTTTTAAAGACAAACAATCCTCATCACGCTTGAAAAAGAATCATATTGTGTCTATGGGTGGTATTAATCCGGACGAAAAGAGCAGTTCAGAGAGTTTAACCTTTGGTAATGTATATACCAAGTTTTATTTATATCATATGCACTATATACTCACATTGATATTCACATGTTTTAAAACTATCACATGTCTCAAATTGTTGAAAGAAGGATATGATTTAGCAAAGATAAAACAGATCCTTCACACCAGCCTTCTTTACTAATTATTATGTGATAGTAGTTCATAATGCATTTAGAGCATGTTTCAAATTTCCACTGAGCATATTTATCTATCATAATACACATATACTTATTTATTACCAAATGAATTTGTTACATTTTATTATTTGTTGCCCAAATTAAAATAACTAAAAAATAATAATCTGTATTCACTTTTACGCAGCACACTTGTTTACTCCATTAAGTAACAACAAAAACATTTTTTACTAGGTCGTTTTCGTACAAGTTCTACTTGTATACCTGAGAATCATGCATTAATAAAGGAAGTTCGACTTATACGACCAACTAAAGGAGTGTCATTTAGAGATGAAAGGCTTGTTTTTGCTCCAGTCCAAGGAGTTCCATGCGCTATATTTAGCACCATACCATACTCGAAAACTGTTAGAAATGTACGGTATGTAGAGTGTTTGTTATGAATTTTAAAAATTATGTTGCTATATTTTCATCAAAACTAGTTATCATACAATAAAACCAGACATCTCTTACTATAACATATTTTTTTTCATACTTTTTAGCTCAGATATCCGTAAAGATGGGGTTCGAAGGCGTAATACATCTGGACCACGGCCTCTCTCGTCAATTACCGACAATGGTGTTGATCCATTTGATCTACTTGGATTAGAAAAAGAGGAAAATGGTCAGGATATATCTTACTCTAAGTTACTAGTACCATCTCGAGTTTACACAAGAGAACAGTATAGAAAAATGTATGAAGGTGATTTCAGTGACAAAGCTAATTGGAAGGTCTTGAACCGTCACCCACATGTAATAGCTAGGTAAATATCTATTGAATCATTATTTAATATATCACATAAGAACATTGTGCATGTTACTGTTCTTTATTTGTCTTATCATTATTGTTATTTATGACCCTTAGTCATGTAAACTTTTAATATTATAATAGAGAGAAACAAAGTTATTCAAATATTAATATTCAATTCTATTTTGTGAATATCATCAAGTACCATGTTTGACTGTAATAAAATAATTGTTCATAAAAATCTAAAATATTTAGACAGAAATTGGTTTGTTTAAAACTGTTTCTCTTTATGATAATATTTGTTTCAATTGATAGCACTACTAGCCAATATTTTTCATAATTTTTGCATTTATGGATCTGTCTTAACCTAAATATTTACTTATTTACTGAACATTAATTAAAGTCCACATTTATCTTCATTTTTATAACTTATGAACAGTTCTGTTTAATCATTCTCGTAGATCCAGTATCTGTCATCAAATACTTTTAGATATAGGGATGTACTTAATACGCAATTGCATTGCTAGATAGTAGCAACACTCACTCAGATTTTGTTTTTTATTATAGTATGTATGCATCAACTAAAATTGACCCCAATAATATAATATTTTGTTCCTTCAAAATTATTTAATAAACTTTTCTACAATAAATATTAATATCATAACATAGTTATAGATTACAAATTCATAATATATAAGTAAATGATATAACTTAAGTTCCTACAAGTATATTATCTGGTTTATAGATTCCATGTCTGTTTCTTGTCTTACATTTAATTTTCGTATATATATTCATAGGTATATCATTCTGGCACAATGTATACATACTTACATATATTAATTAATATAGCATATAAGAATGGGCATACTGTAAAAGAAGAATTATCTTTATTTCTTCTAATACCTATCCTGAATATGTATTAGAAGATATAAAGATTACTTTTCTATGCTGCATTTAAATATTGATTTTTTTATTAAATATTTTGCTCTGAATGTTTACATAGACCGAGCACTATTTTTGTCACATATTAGATATTGTAGGCTCTGTACCTACAATTTTAATGTAGTCATGAAATACATATATTTACATTTAACACAACCACAAGCATTATAATTCGTACTATATCATTAATACACAAAACATTAAGTCATACTGTTTAATACATTATGAATACCATTTATGTTTTGTCTTTTCACCCTCATTTCATTACTAACCAATTTACATTTCAGGACTAAGTTATTGACGAGACACAAGGATAAAAAATGGTAAACCTAAATATACATTATGCTATGCAGTATATATATTTGGCTAATGCTATCTAACCCACAGCAAATAAATAACGTACAAATTTATTAACGTAAAATAGTATTAGTAAAATATAATAAACAGTAGTAGATGCGCATTTTTGTAGGCTTTTGCATGATTCATATTTTTACATGGATATTGGACAGTATAGGTATATACATATTTATATTAAAAATGCGCCTCTATTAATACACTTATTTCTGAAATACAAGTATAATGCCTAAATATACTGTTTATTTTGTAAACTAGTTGGTATTGGTTGATATTTACAAGTTGTCTTCTAATATTCATTTAATAATTAAGTTATGTAGAAATTGCCTTAAGATGCTCTTATATAGTGTTATGACAAATTTATTTTTATGAATTCCGTCTGTATAACAACCTCAGTAATATGGTTTGATACATCTCTTATTTTTCGATATTTGTGGATTCAGTTCCTGCACAATCATTCATTTATTTGCTTATATTACGCTTCATCCTAACCAATACAAATAGAATTGCTTTGAAATAATTTGTATCTTTAAAAAATCCTGTATTTCTAAAAAAATATGCTCTTGGGTACTACCCATTCTGCTTGCTAGAAAACATTTCTGCTAATATTGTATGTACAGATTTAGCCAATTGGTTTTATTATTATTATTATTTATAAATACTTATTTTCTGTATTGCACATTACTAACCCATATTTTAATTAATACTGTTAAGAGGTTATATAAGCGTAGTTAATACTAGTTTATGTAGTAATATTTTTATATTTACGTTCTTCTAATTTTATTTGATCACATGTACTTACATATTATTTTTTAAGCTTTAATTTATTGGGACTTTAGGTATTTGCCTAGTAGTCCACAAAATTAAATTAATCAATGTTTGAAATATTCAGACCTGCATGATAAACCAGTATTTTTATTAGTATAAAGTTAGTAAATTCTACTGCATGATTCCATAACAGCTGGTAACTGAAATAATTACTTATTGTATAATATATAGACTGTAGTATAATATTTTCCTTTGACTGTAATAGTTAAAGATTAGTTTTCTTATTCTACAAAAACAAGGAACCACTAATAAATCTATTTTACTAAAATTAGCTAAAGGAAAAAAAGATTTCGTTTCTTTCCTTCATTTTAAAGAATCATAACACTTTTTTAACACTGTAACAGTTAAAATAAGTTTGTAGGAGACTGTAATTTATTTATAAGGGTAAGTGTAAGGTAATTAATTATATAGCCTACCAAAAAGTTACTGTTTCAGACATGTAGAATTGATAGTTTTATGATGATAGAAATATTTTAGATACCTATTGTGTACACTTACCTAATCAATCGTTAGCATGAATTACTATTTTACTTATCAATAGGACCTGTCTAATATGCCTAGATTTGTTATTGTTTTATCGAATATTGTAGGTGCTTCTCATACGAATCATCTCAAAGAACCAACGTAGCTACATCGCCGCCTCACTCGTCTATCGAAATGAAGACATTCGATTGGGATGAACCATCTTTGCTGGCACAAAAATACGTACGTATTACTATTACTCAAAAAAGCGATATGTAAATAAATATTTACTAACATTAACAAAAAATCACTGTATTGTGTTATTTTCATTATATTCGCATAGTTTTCTTATGACATGCATCCTTCTTAATATAAATAGATATACGGAGTCATATAAAACTATATCACTGGGAAATATTGTATAAATAAGTTATAGAATATCGTATCTTTTTACTTTACAGGTACAATACTGTCCTAATGTACTGGACGATCCAGAATTGATTGCTGGGAAGCACAGAACTTTACTTACATTTACTTCGTATATGACTTCCATTATAGACTACGTGCGACCACAAGACCTGAAAAAGGAATTGAATGATAAATTTAGAGAGAAATTCCCGCACATCAAATTGACTCTTAGCAAATTGCGAAGGTAATTTTATTTTTATTAATTACTAGCCGCGTGGAAGTTTACATTATTTTATTAAATAAATAAAAGTAGCCTAAAGTGACTCCTTATAAAATTAGCTATCTGTAAGTGAAAGTCCCGTTAAAATCGATCCAGCAGTTTCACAGTTTAGTAAGAACAGATATTTTTTAAATAGATATAGATGTAAGTATACCTTCACGTGCATTTAGAGTGAAAAGCTGTTAATTTGAAATTACTGACAGACATTTCAATTTTATTTATTTGTATAGACTAGCTGACCGGACAAAATTTGACCTGAGAAATAATATTTAACGACAAAACATATTATAGACAAAGAAAATTTAACGACGATATTAACTTTCCTAATGCTTCACGCAACCTTCTTAATAAACATTCTCTTGACACTAGCAAACACAACAAAAAAAGAATTAACGTATTCGGTCCAGTCGTTCTCTCGTAATGTCGTGACCAAGGGAATTAGGAATTCAAGTGTTAAACAAATTTAAAAACAGTAGACAGGTAGACTTAGTGTTATGTTCACATTTAAATGATTCATCATTTAAAAACTTCTTCACCTTCTCTAGCTACTATTTCACAGCTACACACTGTACTATCAATAGAGTTAAAATCACCTTTTATCAATCTCTACTTTTTTTCTACTACTACTACTAATTTTTATCTACTAACGATCAGAATCAATAAATGTTACGGTTACTATTGACTTTCTATCTAATTTGACGATGAAAATTATCGTATCAATATTTTAATCATTTTACTTTATTTTGCGATGTTTTCAAAAATTAAACGTCATAAAAATCAGTAGTTAAACCGATTCATAAATTTTATAAATATATATTGTCTATTTTTAAATAAGAAAATATGAAATTTGAATGGGATTAAAGGTTTTAAATATTTTTGTTCTTTTGCAGTATTAAAAAGGAAATGCGCAAAATAGCCAAACACGACAGTGGTGGCATCGATCTCTTGTCCGTTGCGCAAGCGTACGTGTATTTTGAAAAACTAATTTTAGCTAACCTAATCAACAAAGACAATAGAAAATTATGCGCCGGAGCCTGTTTGTTACTTTCAGCCAAACTGAATGACGTTAAAGGAGAAATGTTAAAAGCACTTATCGAGGTAAATACCTTTTGGTTATGTACAATATAACATTAAATTGTGTATATAATATATAAATAATGTTAATACATTATGTAGTTCTCGTAAAGATGAAATTATGTAATTTAATATACTGCATTATCACAATAATCCTATATCCCATTCTAACAAAAGTGACAAAATTTTCAGTTTCTATTTTAACGCTTTATACTCTATGAAAAATTTCTTGTACTTAATATATAAATGATTAAATACAAGAAATATTAGCTTAAACTGTTCTGATTATTTGAATGCAGAACAACATTTTCAATAGGTACAATGGATTTGAAGGAAACGTGGTTCACCATATGTAATAATTTGTATGGAATAAATAATTTTCAATCAAAATCAAATAAACTTAATATAAGCACTTTTGAATAGTCATATTTTTTCAATTTACTACTCATTCGGAACTCATCAGAAGGAAAACGAACAAGAAACTTGCGTATTGCTATTTAATTTTTCTACATTACCCAGAATCACTTGATATATTGCGATTTATTGTTTTAGCGAATAGAAACAACGTTCAGGGTGAATCATAAGGATCTAGTGAAATGTGAATTTGCTGTTCTGGTAGCTCTCGAGTTCGGATTACATGTACCCCCATACGAAGTGTTTCCTCATTATCAGCGCTTGCTACACGACTCGTGACCCTGGCGAAGACTGGCTTTGGAGCCATGTATACGAGTCTGTCATAAAAGACGAGCGAGTATTGTCGACAATTTTAGAGCAAGTGCCTGGATGTAAAATTACATTTTTAAATTTTAAATGGACTACTGTCCACTTCTTCCGTTCAGTTATAATATTGGATTAATTTTACAAATATGACCTATCATGTCATGCTTTTCAAAACGAATTAATTCATTATATTAATTTGTTATGGATTCACATGTTTTGAATTATAATTGTTATCTTATTTGTATTACTTTGTAGAAGTTTACCTCAACATTGCCGAGAAATGTAGTCCTTAAACCCAGGACAATTAACACAAATAAAAAAAATGTAATCAAATTCAGCCACAAATGTGGAAGGTGGCAACAAGTCTGTTACTTCGGCTTATTTCCTTTGCTCGGACTGTCCCACTACAAAACGTAACTGGTTAATGCGCAAAGTGTATCAATGGTTCATAATTATAATTGTTATTTCAATATCTTGTTATTATTCCAAAGTTAAATTCGGTAGATCTGATGCCAGTTATGTTTTCTATCATTATTTTATCTTTGGCTCGTGACTCGTGTATATCGAACACAGGAATGATTGTGCGTTATTAGAGAATAGAAATTAGAAGCTTAACCAAATATCGCTAATTAAATTTTTAGAAAGTAGGTACTTAAGCTTAATTAGTTTTCGAAATATACTTTAATATTATAATTCTAACTATTTTTTTAAATATTAAATCTCATTGTTATAAGGTTTAATGTAAAACTAGCAGAATTTATTCTGGAGCCTCATTTGTTCGAGAAATTTCCTGCTACGACTCATCTTTTAGCAGATCATCTAGTGTGTATGTTATTAACTTATGGGCACCGTATTTAATATAAGAGTGTAATTACATTATTTATTGAATTGTCTTAAGGTTGGAAGTTCATTTACCGTTTACTATGCATTAAAAGCTGATTGATATTGCTGCCAAGATGGATATAGCATAGAAAGGCCTAGTCATGAATACTATTGCTCAAGCGAAATATTGGAACGATTTTATTAGATATGTCATTTAGATTAACAATACAAAAAAATATAGTTTTTGTGAAATTATATAGTTTTTATAATATTTGATGAAAGTGCAAGTATATTTAAAATTTCATTTCAGTCATTTATTTTATTGTAATGCAAAAGTTTAATGCGTCTTAGATTGTTTTAAACATGATAGATTCACTATGTTGAGTAAATAAATACATTAATTCATAACATCGCAACTGTGATAATTGTGTAAAATTATTATTATCTATTGATATTTGTCATTCATTTTTATGACACACACACATAATGTTAATTTTCAGTAGAATAAACGTATAGGAATACAGGACGTACAGTGAATAAGATAATTAATTTAACAAAGGTAACAATAATAAATGCATGTGAAATAGTATCATCGCAAACTGCTTTCAAATCTTGCCAAAAAAGAAGTTAATTCCCTCCCTTCTTTATTATCTTTTTCTTATTAGAATACGAGTATTACGAAACTTGCAATGAAGATCCGCCTAATTTGAAATAATTTTATGTTTATCTGAGATCTTGTTTAATGTAGTGCTCAAAAAGAACCAAAATGTAAATATACTAAAACTGAAACACAATTATAAATAAAGAGGGAGAAAACAATTACGTTTTCCTCTCTTGTTTTTACCCTTAACGGGCTGGTAATTTGTTTATTTAGATAAGTCGGAACTATTGATAGGTATTAATTTAGTAATAATAAATGCGAAATATTTAATCTGACTGCTTGCTTTTGGCTCCGAAATGTGTGAACGGATTTCCATGAAACATTGTTTAGATATTGACTGTTGCAAAGGTAGTAACAAAAAACTATTGCCTTGTAGTCCTTTATAGTATTTCTTAATTAAATGATGTACTTAGACTTAACATCTAAGATGTAAGATGTTATTTTTACGTATCTCAGAATAAGATAGAATGTAGTCGCGTGACGTGTGTGTTATGGTCCATTCGTAGAACTGGTTATTACTTAAAGTCGTCGACCATTTTGAGGTTTACAAATTTAGGTATTAATATTACGTAAAATCTAGTTACATATTTATTGAAATTACGCTACACGTTCTGCCTCAAGATATTAATATACCCCAATATTTTTCGAGAGAATCTGCAAAGTTTACAAGCCACGATAAAAGTAACTAACGCGCTAAGTTATTAAGATACTGAATAATATATATATATATATATATATATATATATATATATATATATATATATATATATATATATATACCTTCTTGTTTGCTTTTCATAGTCTTTGTTTATTCTCGTTACATAATCTACCTTCACTTACAATTTTAAAATTCAAAACAAATCAACCGTTTTATAGAAAAAAGAACCAGACAATAGACAGACACAATTTCATAATTATGATATCAGTATGGATAAGAATATTTAACCAGAAACGTGTGTTGTTAATTTACATTGTCAAACGACTTATACTCATAAGTTTGAACTTATACCTTAGTATTTAGTGCATAAAACATTGTGTAATATTTGATTTAATGTTAGCACATTCCACAGAATGATCGACTACTTTATAACATGATTAGTGCTGCAACTGAGCCAGGAAAATGTATGTTCCATTCATATTTTTCATAAATAATCATTGATAAATAAATAAATCACCCTAGCGCCATCTAGTCCCACGGTAAGTAGAGCTTGTGTTATGGGTACTAGAGAACTAATATAAGTACTTAGATTTTTGTTGTAAATACTTACGATACATACATAGAAAACACGCAGACCGTTACAAACATTCATGAATACAAATATTTGCACCGTGCGAGTAATCGAACCCGCGACCATCGGAAGTAAAGCGGTGTGCTAAACCGCTAGTCAGAATTTAACATAAAAACATGATGTAATGTAAATTTAATACTTGTAATTTATATATTATACCCTATTATAATATAGAGTTATTAACTAATTTACTGTACCAACGATTTAACACCAGTTTCAGCGTTTTCATAAAATTAAAAACAAACATTACTAAAACAAAGAAATTCGCATTACCCAAGTATCATATTGTGTTGTATTTACTGTATTATTTAATTTTACCTATCCTATTGTTTAGATTAAGTAGGCGTTTGAGAGTGAAATGTGAAAGTACAAAGTATAACTAATAGATACTTTATTTAGTAAGACATTATTATAATTATAGTATTGTATTATAATACACACATAGAAACCAATTCAAGAGATTATCAATGTTTTATATTATAATAATGTTATATGTATAATAAGAATTTAATTTATAAAACTACTGTTATAATACTATCGTTTTTGTTATTAAAAATAAACACTATTACGTTATTATATTCTAGTTTTTTTACTAGTTCCCTATTATATATTGTCTTATCTGTGCTATTGTAGTTTTTTATAGGAAGACATACATTTGAATATACTATATTATAATAACCCTACCCTACCTATTATAGTACCTATTTCAACAGGCACTGCCTAATATCCTGAAACTAGCTGACCCCGCAAACGTTGTTTCATCATATAAATTAAAATCCCTATTGAAATATAGGGGTTGATAGAAGAGTGAAAATTTAGGGTTATATGTATTTCTAAAGCCAAAGTTCAAAAATTAAAAAAATATATTAACGTATGAAAAATATATATATAGTAGCAGATTCTCAGACCTACTGAATATGCATATAAAATTTCATAAAAATCTGTCAAGCCGTTTCGGAGGAGTATGGTAAATTGGCTCCTAAAATAGTCATGGTAATATCCCCTTTTGGCGTTCCACAGTCAACATCCCATATGTATCCATAAAAAACAGATATCTGCTAAAAACAAATAACGATGCACTCACACGTGTTCTATAAAATCAACAAGAAAATATAATTAATTTAAAGAGAATTATCATCAAATTTAAAGAGGTAGTATGATTGTCCACTTACAACATGTCGATTTGGTTCACTGAAAATGTAATTATGCCTTCCAAGTTTGTTACATACATAATACAGTAGATACTTATGTCCTAACGTGTGAAATGCCCATCCGTTCCAAATTTCTTTGTTATATGTAAGTATATACCTCGTTGATATAAGCGCGATATTCTATTCATTCAGGCGTAAACACAAGTACAACGAATTTAACAGTAAACGTGCTGTGTGGTATATGACCTACATATTAAGTAATTACCATGAAGTGTAATAAGGTAAATTAATTGTGATGTTAATATAGTGATAAATATGTGATGTGATCTATGTGTACCTACTTATGTCTAGAGTAGTCGGTACGGGCAGTGTTGTTACCATCTACCTATATCGGATTATTCTTTTTTATTGTATTTTGTATACTACGGTAGGTATGTTGCTATGTTACGGTAGTATGTATATTTTATAATATATATAAGTACATAACATATACCGTACCGTATATCTCGTACAGATTTTTAGTTTGATACCGGTTTTTTCCATCACCAGTCAGTCAGTAATATAAATTGTTTATTAATTATTAGGTACATAAGTTCTATTTTGGTGTCGCCCAGATATGAGCTTACGACCTCTTGAGTATAATTTACGGTTGTAACTCACTGGACCACGATTCTTGATAATTAGTAAAAATCACGGGAATGACTACGGGTAAACTCCGAGTTTACCTACCCCTACGCTCCTGGCGTTGAAACACTATCGAAGGGAACGCAATAAATATAAAACGTAGTAAGATCCCGTGATTTTTACTAATTATACATATAAATAGTGACTGCGTCAAATTTAAAACAGTATATATACTATGTATGTATATACAAAAAAATGTATCAGTGGTCTAGTACCCACAACACAAGCTTTGCTTAGTTTGGGACTAGATCGCTATCTGTGTGAATTATTTTGAGATATTATATTAAAATATTCTATCGTGTAGTTAACACAAAGATAACAAAACTAAATAATATAATGTTGCAATTATGTTTCTACCTTGGTTTCCCTCCAGACACTGCCGTTTCTTTCGCTTCTTTGCATTTTCACCTGTTCACGAGGAGAAGTAAAGAAAACGCAGCATTTGCAACAGCATGATACACGTACACCACTGATTTCTTCAGACTCTACATTCATCCCTGACGTGTCCTTTTGGGACTACTGGCAACCTGGAAAAATTTTACAATTAGGTAATTTAATGTTATTAATGACAAATTATAGTACTTATTCGATTTAATAATGTAGTAATGAAAAAAATTTTTTTTATCAATAGGTCGTTCCATATTAAGCAAGGGACTGTTGCAAGGAACACGTTCTAACAAAGCACTGGAAAGTCATTGGGAGAGAGGTGGACACCGTGATCAGTCTAGAGGAAAAATAAAAAATAAAGTAAAATTCCTCATCAAAATACATCAATATCAAACTTAATTGTAGTTTATTTATTAAATATATTTTTACGCTTTTAAACCAACAGTGAGTAGGCAGTCCTAATAACATCATTAATCATAAAGGGATACCCTTTTGTACGTTTTAAATTCGTCGATGTACGAGAATTTAAAAAGTACAAAAAACTTTATTTGCTAGTTTTTTTAGTCAAAATTCCCGTTTTCATGAAGAATCCAATGAATAAGATCTTTATATTTGTAGTCGGTTAAAAATGCAAGAATATAGACTATAGAATTGATAATCAATATGAGCATACTGTTTAATTTGACATCTGACAGTGTACCCATTACCTACGTTGACTAGAATTCAATATTTGTATCAATAATAATTATAATATTTATTAATTTGTTTTACGTTTGATGCCCGCGTTCAGAAAATGTTTTATGTTGATTCACAAAGAACTGTGACACGACGTGATAGTTCACTAATCGTATATAAAAGAAACTTCCAAAGTGGGGAGGAGAGGCTAGATTTTGATACTATGTCAACCGCACGATGTCAATCTAACATACGTCTGACTAGCGAATGTGGTGCCTCATTTTCGATGCGACCAAAGGGGTCCGTTCAACGAGAACTGGTAACAATGATGTTCGAGTCGATGTTAGATAGCGTTGTCCAATCATGGGAGGTGATCGTTCAACAGAAAACCGAAGAGAGCTCTCCTAATATGGAATTTGGAAAGACTGTTAGTGAACTTACGTTCACTGGTAAAAAGAAAAAACCTAATGGTTTGTTATATATTGATTAAGTGCATAGTATAAAAGTAGTTATTTTGAAAATTTGTTGTTCCAATCGCCCGTATGCCGAACAAAACGTTGTATAAATTATCTACAGATAAGTACTCTGTAAGCCATGGAATCCCTCGAGTGCTACCAAACTTGAAAACATTAGAGATTCATTGACCATGCTTCTATTGAATTAATAAAATATTTTATTTTTGTTATTATTGTAATTAGAATCGGAAACAATCTGACGGTCCATGCCCTAGCCGTTCTGAACTAAGGTATCATGCTTCTTATACTAACGTAACTACATTACCTTATTACGCTTCAACTCAAACACAGCTTACAAAGCAATATGTTTGGTGGCTCTAATACGTGGTTATTGAAGTGCCCACGTAAATGATTTTATTATTTCAGCAAAATCATCTAAAACCAAAAAAAGCCGATCAAAGTTGGAACTACTTGATTCACAGGTAAAAATATTTAGCCTAAACTCCTATTTAAAATAACTATCTATAGAATTGAAATGTAAAGTAGGTATTTTATACTTACGTAGAAAACCTACAAATCATTTATTTAATTTAGTATTAATTATTTATTTTAATTCGTATTAATCTTGGACTCGATTATTTAAATAAGTGTGAAATGTTATTGAAGAGTAGCAAATACTCACCTACTCTATTTGCTAACTCAATACGCTTATGAATATCCAAAAGTTTTCATAAACATTTCAATTATAACATTAATAGGAGCACATTGGAGGTATGTCTTATTTACTTACATTAACGTTGTATCTGTGCAAAGCGCGTAGCTATATTTTTCCAAATAACTACGATAGATAAAAGGTTAACAAAATATTTAATATTATTTAAGTTTTTTTTCATTAATATAAGATTTCAAGCTATATATTGATACCAGGTTGATCCCATGCAACAATCCTGGTGGTCTTTACCAGACGAAAAAGCCGTTATACGTTTTCGAAATGGAAATGTTTATGAAGGAAACATTTCAATGAAATGCATGCACGGCGAAGGACGTTTTCAGTGGAGTGATGGAACAGTCTATTTGGTAACCATGATTTAACTGGTAGCAAAAGAGATAATTATTACTGTTCACATTTAAGCCACTTTACAAGATCAGCAATGTAGCTGTTAATAAAAGTAATAATTTCTTTTAGGATACAAATAACCTTTGCTAGCTTTGGTTCCAAGACTCTAACACCGATAATTATGGTTATTATAATACAAATATATTAAATTTCGCGTAACATAGTTATAAAATATTTAACTACGATGACTTCCAGACTAGGGCGGACAAGCGGAAGTCGAACTGGCATTGTATTGGTAATGATGTGTCCACAAATCACCATTATTAAGTATTCTCTTTCCCCTGGAGAAATGAGTAGACGTCTGCAATGACATAACTTTTACTGTTCTACTTATTACTATACTATTAATAGGGTCAATTTAAAAACAACGAAATGAATGGGAAAGGTATAATACAATGGAAAGATGATACGTGGTATGAAGGCGATTTTGTTGGGAATCTTCGTCATGGTAAAGGACTGTATGTAGACTCGCGTAAACAACACTCATATTTTGGTGGATGGCACTGTGGTACAAAGCATGGAGAAGGAGTTATGTACTACTCTAAAAACTTCAAAAATTCATACGATGGAGAATGGTACCAGGTTAGGATTTAAGAACTAAAAGTATTTATTAATAACAGCAACATGGTTAACACTTTGACCCCGTTGGCATTTCCATAGGAACCTAGGATAACAGTCTCCTACAGACTTCAGAGAATACGTACATGTTACACTCACATCTCAATGCGTCAATTAGAATTCGGGCTACGCTATTATACCCCATAACCATTTTCAAATTACAAGAAATTATACAAGTGGAAATGCATAAAAATATATTAAAATATACGGAAGGATTTAGGAAGAGGCTTGGAGGGAAGACTCTCCTAGACCTTTCCTAATTTCTTCCCATACCCTAATTATAAGGCTGGAACGCCTAAAGTACCTCTGCTGTTGATATTAGATAGGTATATATGCCTCTATACTATAAAAAAATATTGTTTTTAACAGAATGTCCGCCACGGTTTCGGATTACGAGAATATTGTGCTATTAGTGGTTATAAGGGTGAATGGGACAAATACATAAGAGATGGTAAAGGATTAATGATATGGCCAAACCGCGATGTAAGTAAAATATCTATCTATTAAATAATTGTTTATATCCCAAGTTCTAAGTATTATTTTAGGAGTAGTACGTTTTCTTTGAACTCGCCAATCAAACTACGCTCAAAACTAAAATGGATTGTAATATAACAATTTCTGTACAGCGGCTTCTTTATTAGGTTCTCTCTTTTTCCGGTCTGTGCGAATAAATACGTACGAAAAAACTTAGAATCAATGACTAGAATTTTATTTAGAACCATTTTAAATTCGTAGGAACGTATTGTGATACTTAAATTCAGATGAATTTAGGTATCTCCGAAATATTGGTCACACGCACGTTAGAGCAATTTTCCCAACCTTTTTTATAGAATGCCCCATCCAGCCCTTCCTAAAATGGTTCTGTCCCCTTATATGTAACAGATATAAATATAGGTTTTACATAAGTTGAAATCACTAAGAAAATGAAACACAAAAAGTAAATTTTCACGTCATTTAATGAAAAACTCAAAATACAAATAAATTTATGCGGATTTTTCTATATTAATTTATTATTTTAAGTTAGTGATAAAACAATTACATATTTAAGAATTTACTTTTTTTGTTGAATATCTATGGCATCCCAGGTTATCCTAGTTTAACAGGTAGTGTAAGTATTTATAACTACTTTATGATTTATATTTGTACAGTTTTACAGGGGTGATTGGAAAAACGGTGTTATGTCTGGATATGGTCTTTATATATGGGATGCCCATTACAACAATACAATGTCTTTACCATCAATCAATGCGTACCGTGGTTCTTGGGAAAAGGGCCAAAGAAATGGTTATGGAATTTTGAATTTAGGTTTAGGTTTAGGTTCGCATTATAAGGGAGAATTTAAAAATAATAAGAAACATGGTGTGGGAAAATTTATCACTAATAATGGACTAATATTACAAGAAAAGTATTTGTTCCATGATGATAATATTGGCACCATGTCATTCGATAATCAAGAAGAAAAGACAGCACCTCAGAATCTGAAACATACGCAGTCACAAGAACCCTTCAAATTCGATATATGCGATAGTACTGTGGGACTTATGTATCACATTGAACAAGCTTTAAAAAATATTGATAAACGACAAGAAATTAGAGCTAATATAATTTCGGAATATATAGAAAATAACAAAACGTTAGAAATGGATGTTGCTGGTGTTGCGCGCAAAGAAGATATCCAATGTCAACAAAGCAAAGTTTATAACTTTGACTATATTATAGATTTTGAAAAAATCTCTTTACGTAAATCTCTGAGATGTTACGAAACAGATTTAAGAAATATTTATTACAAATACGCGACTATATGCAACACTAAAGAAATAAATTTCACTCCTGTACTTATAAGGCTGTATTTGTGGCAACTGTATTTTGATTGCAATGTGCACGAAAAAGGCTTAACGCTTGCGGAGATCGATGTAATTTTTCATCAAAATCCTTTATGGCTAGCTAGATCTCCACATAATCCTTTTGAAAAAATTTATTTCTGGCAATTTATACACAGCTTGATATTAGTAGCTAGCAAGTTGTATGCCAAAAGGCAGCTTCCAGGCAAAAAACCAGATACAATTTTAGCTAATGCTTTCAGAACATTTATGGATAACGACGTGTTATTGAGCGCCGGAAGACGCAAAGGTAAAATGACATAGTTAGACGATTTTGCCTATAGGTAGGTATGTATAGATAGTTACCTAATGTATTTTTTATTACATGTAACGAATTATATTAATAAAACCCTTAATGCATATTCATAATTACAATGTAGAATGTGAATTAAAATTTTAGGGCGATTTACAAACGGTTACGGAGCACACATACCGCTAAACGGTTTATACGGTCTTTACCGTAAACTTGGAGAACCACACACTATTCGGACTTTTCTGAAAGCAATACGGCATCCGCCTCATTACGCGCATTTATCACAACCAGATATTGTAGAAGCACCTGACGAGTATTTGCCGCTTGGCCGGAATGTGTATATTTTTGGAGATAAAATGGCTTATATAACTGGTAAATTAACTTCCTTCTCTGGTTCTATATAGTACAAAACATAGCACTCTATGCCTACATGCCTACTCCTATTCGGAAAGGTAAGTAAGGTTAATAGCTAACTTATTTACTGTTTGGGACTGTTTAACTCCTTGCTTATGAATTAAAATTCAAGCAAGAATTTGATTTCTGTTTTTAATTTTATTTATTGATTTATTAATGGGATAGTATCATGTTACATTTAAATGTTTACATTTTTATTACATTACTAGATGATAAACCGTTTTGCTATATTTTTTTTCTGAATAGGGTCATCCTTATCACATAGGGGTAAAAAAAAATGAGATATATTTTACCTCTATGTGATAAGGTCCTCATCACAAGAAGAACAAGCAAGAAACTTGTGTGTTGCTCTTTTAAATGATTTATTCTTACTTACAATTTAAGTTTAAGTGTGTGAATACAAACCACCGATTAGCACTAATTCAATGAAATAATAAAATAGAAAAAACATTCAATACACAACAACTGGTTAAACAATTAATAAGAGTAGTGATTAGAGCAGACCAGTTCACACAAGCAGCACCCGTTCACGAGTATGACGGATGAGCCAGCCACCACAGCGCTCGACCATATTTTAGGGAGCCCAATGACCCGGCCTACCACTCCGCCACAAGTCTGGACATTTTAGTGAGCATGACTACTCAAAACACCAGACCACGTCATAGCTACTCACAATTGCCATCTGATGGTTATAGAATTCACATTTCACATAAGAATGCATGCGGCAATCCATACAAAAACCGCTACGCTTTCATATTTCTAAAAAATCAAGAAAGCAATGAGATAAACAAATTATAACGTTGTATGCTAATAAACTAATTATTTACTTGATATGTTGTCGTCTATGAATTCGTCTATCCTGTAATAGGATTTCTTACACAAAAATTGTTTAATATAAGATTTGAATTGCCTCTCTTTTAGATTTAGTGCAGTTTATTATAAAATCTTACGCAATTACCATAGAATGAATTACTGACTTTGTGCAGACGGCATTTACGTAAAATTAGCGTTGCGGAGAAGTTCTATAACATTGTGACACAAGATCATTATAGCTATTATTTTTTTATATTATATTCTAATTGTTCCAGGGCATAACCAGCTAAATATTTGTGTTACAGATAATAAAGTACAATATGAAAATGAAGAGATGAGTGAAGCTCGTCAACTTATGTTGTTCAATTTTGGAAACTTGTCAAGTAAAACTGTTATAAAAATTTTCGCACGCATTTTCCCACAACTCTGTGAGAAGGACACAATAATGAATTTGGACATAAACATTACGTTTCTTGAATTCTTTGAAGCCTTTGTTATCTGCGCCGAAGAAAGTATTCGTGTGAAAGACGAAGAGATGCTTTGGCGCGAGAAATTTTCTCTCAATGACACTATAGATGTGCAATCCAGTCCTACTGAACATTCAGCCAAAAAGAAATAAATTTTTTTTTCCTCAGTTGGTGCCTACATGTGACGACTTAACGCAAGTCTTGATTGGATTTCTTATCATGAATTATTATATGCAAAATTTCAATGTTTTTCTCTAATTATATGGTTTAGGAACTTCCTACATTTTATAATGTTTAAACGCTCCGTTCTTTTATCAATAACGACACAGTAGTGCAGTTTCATTCCGCACTTTATCTTCAACATTCCCAAGGACACCCACATCTCGAATGTTTGTATTTTTACTCATAGTTTCAGTAAGAGTCTACGCCTAACGTACAGAATAACGGATATATACTTACAGCGTGCCAAGAGAATACTAGTTAGTTTCAAGGAACGATTACAAAGTAGACTACTTATTTCATTTGAACGTGTTTGGAGCCTATAGAAAACATACATAGTAAATGAAAATTTGTTGTTTAGTTTCGTCCATTGAACGACTGGCAAAATTTAATAAAATAAAAAGAGGAATTGTAAACGTCAGTGTCATAAATCCATGATAAATTAAAAGATTTTTGTATATTTACTACTTGTTTGTACATTCATTTTCTTATTAATACTTAGGTACATACTTTACTTATTGTCACAGAGGTGCTTAAACAAGTTGATCAAAATGAGAACTAAAAATCCCATGGCTAAAAAGCCTCAACAAATTTTATTTTCGAAAAATATTTATGGCCCAAATGTGAAGGTAGAAAATTGGGATTATGCCATTCATGCCGAAAGAAAAGATAATAATGTATATCGTGATTACTTGAGTAACCATGTTAGCACTTATACTCGATGGGGCAACGAAGACCAAGGAGTAAAAATGACTGAGACTCGTCATATGCATGGACAAGTTTTCACCAACACAGACCCAAGTTATACATTCAAGCCTCTAGTTAACTTTACCTCCTACCCATGCACTGAGTGAGCTTACGATTTCCTTACTTATATATATATATATATATATACGAGTACATTTTTTAAATTTTAGAATACCTACCGTCCATGCGTATAAAATTGCGGCCAAGCTAGCTTAGATTAAGTGTTAAGTGGTAGAGCATGTTGTATGAAAACGGGTGTTTGTGCACCAAATGGGCACGAATGGGCTCGCTCGAACCGGGAAATATCACATCTCTTCAGAATACCGTCGTTATGTATTATTGTGCTTCGTATGGTTCTGGGCGTCTATATAAGAGGGATCTTATCCATTTCTTATTCCCTTTACCTGCTCACCCCTTTCCTTACCTGTCATGTCAGTTCGACGTCCACGTTCGGAACAGGGGGGCGGGGTACGGCTTTCCTAAAAACTGTCCCGATAGGCTAGTTGACCGGACCTCAGCTAGTTTTATAATCCTCCACTGGTGTCGTGTCAGAGTAACTATACCGTTAGAGCAAGCGGGTGAACCATTGCATGTTCACATTGCAGTTCATTTTACTAATTATTAAATAACTAGGTATTATCTGCTTATAATTTAAGCACACCAGGACGTAACAAGTTGATGAAAAATGCCGACTTAGCACAACTACCTATAGATTTTGGTGTAATGGATTATTTAACGACCCAACAAGAAGATTATAGAAATCCTTTACCACCGATTATGAAACCGGTTAGTACATACAATTTAGTCTTCGTCAACTTTCTCATGTTCCTTACGATTACGGTTTCGTCACACACACAACTACTGTGCCTATATACCTACATAGATACAAATTGTTATGACTACTATTAAATATTGGTATGGTTATTTAGTATGCCTAGTAGTCATAGTCCACTCTACTATTAGACACCATTATATGATTTGTTCAGCAGTATAAATACGCATGAACAACATCGCTATCTATCACTCTATATATGTAATTAAGTTTGATTGGAAAAATAATTACACATATTTATATTTTATAACCGAGAATTATTTTCCTTTCCAGCTGACTATGTCTTCACCTCAATGGTTACTGAATCGCGTCATTAGGTCGGACTTGACACACAATCATGGCACGGCACCGCCGCGAGGTGATTACCAATGCCTCGACACGCATACCCCCATCGGTCACATTCGCGAGATGAGATTGTACCGATATCGGTCCTTCAACCCCGCTACTTGTCTACAGGATTTCCCTATAATAGACAAATCTTTGAACAGCAATTAAAATATCATTTAATTAAAACGTTTTATTAGTTTAATACTTACCTAATCATACAAAAATGGAACATAACATGATTGAAAAGAAAATAAACATAACATTTTAAATAAAAAAACTCAATATGTTAACATAATAGAAAAGAAAACTAGGGTTTCACAGCTGGCCCTTGGATTCACTATAAAATCCAATAAAAAAAAAATAACGCCTCATATCACGCTGGTATGTATTTACGAGATTATGGGCAAACATTCTCACGCGTTTACTTCATAATCTTCTACATCGTCATAGAAATGATAGTCTTATAAGCATTTTGTCCAGTGTAAATATTTTTTTCATTATTAATTTTATACTCTGATAAATGTTATAAAAAATTCTATGTAATCTATAATGTCAAACGTAATGCTATTAATCATGGGACTTCCTACACATTCTTTTACTTCCATCACACATCTTCCCTTAGAATTTAAACATATGATATTAAATGGCATTATAACAGCATGCAGGGCAATTATTTTAACACTATAACATTTATAGAAATCAACATGAATATTTAGATAGTGATTAAAAAATGACGCTGTATAAGTGAATATTCTATGATATCGCACACAATATTACATTAAATAAATTTAAAAGATTTTTCTAACTAGATTTTTAAATTAGAATTTTTATGTTGAATTCGCAATATTTGTAATTCTTAGTTAATGCAGTATTGTGTTAAGGGTGCGATATTAAAACAGGCAACTTTGTTATCAAACTGTATTATTTGTATATATAACACTTGTACACAAACAGAGTCTCCATGCACTATGGTGAACTATGGTGGCATTTATTTAGGTATATAAAAAAATTTTTGGTACAAGACAGGAGGATTCAATTTTACATATATGTTTCAAACTTGAAAACAGTATTTGATTGTCATTTAAATTTTTTCATTCAAATTCGAACTAGTAATAACTACAATTAAATCTGAATTGCATCAAGTCAAGATGTATAAGACAATTCTTAAAATAACCCACATTTTTTAATTTATCATACTATACCCACTTATTTCTTTCATAGATGATAATCAAATTCTTTTTAAAATTAATAATTAATATTATGCAATTACTCATTTATTATTTTAAAATAGTTTCTAATGTACAAAGTCTCTGTATAGAAATGAAACTGGAACCTAATATTTATAAAATATAGGTTACCACAACTGGTAAATTAAATATAACTATGTAGGTTTATGTCTATGTACTTTGCATTTTTCTTTAACTTAAGCCACAGCTTGTGAAAACCCTGCAATCACTTAAAAGCTAGTAAAAGCAATCATAGTCAGTCTAATCCCAAGTGAAAATTTAATAAAATTTCAGTTAGGGGAGTGATTAGACTCACTAACATATTGAAATATTAATGTGTACGCCTTCTTTTAAAACCTTTTCCTTTTTTTGATTTCATTTTGTGTTTACGTGATACATTACGGCCAGTGACATGTCCAGTTATTTCATCTGCTAGCACACCAACTGTTGTCAGGTTTTTTCTTCTATTTTTCTCTGCTTTTGTAACAGGCAAACGAGTAAGATAATTCTCTTCATATTCAGTCTTTTCTTGTTCTAGTTTGGATATTGAATGTTTCACATGATTCCCAGTACTGACCTCAATAGGTGCTTCAGAATACTCTTCACGTAACTCACGCATGACATTTGAGTTCAAAAATTGTTTCTTTGACCGTTCCTTATTTTTATTCCCATCATCACTATGTGAAATTCTTTCATCATAATGAACTGCCGCCAATTTAGGAGGTACATATATATTAGATTTATTTGCTTTGTCTTTATCTTCCTCATCACCTGATATATCACTTGACCCTTCTTCATCATTATCAAATTTGCTGACTAAATTAGATGGATTAGCATGGTATAAATGTGGATCATCTTCAGATGTAGCTCCCACAACAGCAGTCTTTACAAGTTTGTCAATTTGATATTTTAATTTTGAATCTATGGGTCTTATTTTTTCAAGTACTGTTCTTATCTCGACTAGTCTGTCAATAGAAGGATCAGATTCTATTCTTTCACCAGAGCACTTTCTGAGTACAATGAAGGTGAGATTAATTAAGTAGCTCAATAGCATCTGATATTTCATTTCTAAGAAACCAAGACCGCTGTCAGTTGAGATTTCGCCGCTCTTCACTCTTACCAGCATGTTATCTACAAGCTGAGATACATGCTGTATATTAGTATTCATTTCCTTCAACAAATTAACGGCGTGTGGCAGGTCAGGCTGTTCCATTTCATCAGTAGCCTGTAAATAAAAATACATTAATTAAATGTATCTTGTTTTGTCTTGTCTATGTCTTTTGAGATCACAACAATGCATAGAAAAAATATTTTATATTACCTGCACCATGTTGCTATGTCGAATTAACCTCAAACAAAATCAAGAGTCAACTATATATTGATCACTTTATACGTAAATTAAAGAAATTTAAAATGAATACTATGTTAAATAGATAACACAAATTCACAACTAAAATAAACATGTATTCGTTAAATTCATTTTTAGAAATGGAACATAATAATAAGTATAATAGTATAATAAAAAGAATATTTATTTATGTCACAGAGCACTATAGTTAATTTTTGAAGTTTAATTCAGTCGCAGACTATTTACTATTGTGTAGGTTTGTGTAGTACGAGAACGAACTAGTCCGAAAGAAACCTCACAAAGACTATAGCGAACTAGAGCGCAGATCCTCCCCTGTTTAATTTGATAAATCTATCTAGTCTAGTAATCTCTAGATAAAATATTATAGAAATATTTGTAAAAAAAAAACTGATTAAAAAAGAACGGTTTAATTCACTAAAATTATACTATAATAATAAGAATAGCATAATTTACATATGGCAATGCTACAAAACACATTACATTGTTAGCAGCTGAATAAATATTATTGGTGATATTGATGTTGCTCATCAATACCTAGATTATTCTTATTTTTTTTATGGATGACGTGAGCCCATCGTAATAAAATCACCAGAAATTAATCATGAGGGTTTAGGGCTAACCTCGTGAAGGTCAACCATATATAGTACATTGGTAGCAATGAGATCAACAGTCTACATTACTAACATACCCTTCGTTTCATAATTAATATATACTTTATAGAGATGCCACGATTCCTATAAAAAAGTTTTATTTAAAAGTTCCTGTTTTGACAGTGACGTCAAATTAAGATGACGTTTGCGTTGAAGTTCTCGTTCCGTTTATCGACATTCGATGCAGGAATTACTTATATAGATTAGAATAGAACGAATCAAGTGAACAATACGATTCATCATTCAATCAAATTTCCATTTGAATCTTTTGTTAATTTTGATATTCTTATCGAATCATCGATATAATTCTATCTATTAAATATTTATTAACACTTTAAAATGTTTTTATTTTAAGAAAATGCAACCATTGATAAATTACATTTTATTTATTACTGCTGAAAGTTGATATATAAATATGATCGCTGTAAGTAAAATTAATGAGTATTACGACCCAGTGTGTTTCATGTAGGTACTATATATTGATTAATTAATTTTTTTATTCTTTTTAGGCTATTTTCCAGTGTTTTACTCTTAGCAGCTTAATCATTACTAGCAATGCTTTCTATGTACCCGGAGTGGCTCCAGTGGAGTTTAGGAAAGGACAAAAAATTGAAGTTAAAGCTGTTAAAATGACTAGCATTCATACACAACTACCATATGAATATTATTCTCTACCTTTATGTTTGCCTAAAAATGGCACATTTGTGTACAAATCTGAAAATTTAGGTGAAGTACTGCGGGGTGACCGTATAGTTAATACTCCATATGAAGTACACATGGCTGAAAATATCAAATGTAGACTATTGTGCCATTATAAGAATAATCCAATCAATTGGAGTGTGGAGGAATCTGAGAAGGTTGCAAGTCGAATAGAACATGAGTACTTTGTTCATTTGTAAGTTAAAATAACATTGGAATTTTGATAACTACAATTTTATTAGTAGTCTAATAGCAACAGCCATATCAAGGGTAGGCCAACCCTTATACTTATGGGGTACCATGCAAACCACTTAATATGATGTCCATTGTATCCCTCATCCATTGCCATTCTAGAAAATTTACCTTAGTCCTGCACTTACAAAGCAATCTGCTTGAAGACTAAAATAGGTACAATAAGTACAGAACAGAACTTTGTGTGTAAAATAGAGACAAAGTTCTGTACTTTGTATAAAGTCTGCATAGAAATTTGTATATCATAGTGAGAGCATAGGCCTGGTTACTGGCTTTTATCACATATCTGACTGAGGACATAATGAAAACTTGTTTGAGCTTAAATACTGGATAATGTGGATGATTGAATGGATCCTTCTAAAATAATTTAATTTACAGATTAGTGGACAATCTTCCAGTTGCAACAAAAGTAATCAATATTGACACATCAGAAAGGACTATAGAACAGGGGTACCGATTGGGTTTTATGACTAAAGGCAAAGCATACATAAACAATCATTTAAAACTATTATTGAAATATCATAAACACAGCCAGTAAGTTATTATATTTTTATTAATTGCATTTAATAAATAATATAATTGAATAAAATAGACAATATTCAATACATACAGATCATAGGGTAGAAATCCTTGTTTTTTTTAATGGAATAATATTCCACTAACTGTAAGAAAATACTTGTAACAATATGACCATTTTTTGTTGCTAATTTTCAATTTACTGTTTTGCTTATTGTATTTCTTCTGTGTGCAATAAAGAGTTTACTATTATCATTATTACTTATTATGAACTATGATTGCTGCAGTACACACATGCTTTATAAGTATTTTGTATTAACAGTTATTAATTCTTAGTCTTATATTATATTATATAAGTATACCAATAAAATATCAATCTATTGTAAATATTTTTACTTTTTCAGAGACTCATATAGAGTAGTTGGTTTTGAAGTGGAAACACTGTCACTTGACAAAGATGATTTGAGTTTTGTGGATGAATCTTGTCAATTTCCATCAGATCCTAAACCCCAGTTGGTCAATGAAGAAACTGGAACTAAACTTTACTTTACTTATTCTGTGGAGTGGGGAGAGTCAGAAATAGGATGGGCGTCCAGATGGGATATATATTTAGGAATGAAAGATGTGCAGATACATTGGTTCTCCATTGTTAATTCCATTGTGGTGTTGTTCTTTTTATCTGGTAAGACATTTGTCTGCTTTTATGAAATTCATAAATTTTAAATGTGATTTTGATTTCAAAATCTTTTTATAGAAATATATTTTAAATATCTATCTATATAGTACTAATATAATAGGAAAAATTGTCTGTCCACAATACCTTTGCCAAACATTTATGGATTACAATGATTTTCATAAAAAAAATTCTTATATCAATTGTCTCTTTGTTTTTATTTTAGGAACAATATGACAATGTTTTTAAGCAAGGTATAGTAGTAGAACATTGAGGTTAAATCCTATTATAAATAATATTTTTTTTATTCATATAGGTATATTGACAATGATCATGGTGAGAACACTAAGACAAGATATAGCTCGTTACAACTCTGATGAAAGTATTGATGACATGATTGAGGAAACTGGCTGGAAACTGGTTCATGGTGATGTTTTCCGTCCCCCTCCAAGAAGAATGCTATTCGCAGCTGTCATTGGAAGTGGAATTCAAGTTTTTCTAATGGCTCTTATAACTATATGTAAGTAAATCTTAATAACATTATAAAACAAAAGTTTATAAGTTTGGATGTATGTTATTCTTTCACGCAAAACTAACTACTTAACCCATTTTGATGAAACTTTATAATAATATAGCTCATGAATCAAAAAATAACTATCTTTGTTGCAGTTATAGCAATGCTGGGTATGTTGTCTCCAGCTAGCCGAGGTGCATTGATGACTGCAGCTATATTCCTCTATGTATTTATGGGTCTTATTGCTGGCTACTACTCTGCACGCTTATACAGTACAATGAAAGGAAAACAGTGGAAACAGGCTGCATTTCTTACGGCTACAATATATCCAGCTATAGTCTTTGGCACCTGTTTCTTTTTAAATTTTTTCATTATGGGCAAACATTCCAGTGGTGCAGTACCTTTTTCAACTATGATGGCTCTATTGTGTTTATGGTTTTGTATATCACTACCATTAGTATACTTGGGATATTATTTTGGTTGCCGTAAACAGCCCTTCCAACATCCTGTAAGGACTAATTTTATTCCGAGAAAAGTACCTGATCAAGTTTGGTATATGAATATATTCATATGGTAAGAAATTTTTGTTCACTAAACATTTTTGGAAATAATTTATCTTTAAAGTTGCATAGTGAAATGAGGAATTACCTATTCTAATTTTCTAATTATATAACTTTTGAAATATGTATGATATATTTTTATGTTTTTATGTTTCAGCATTTTAATGGCTGGAATTCTCCCATTTGGAGCTGTATTTATTGAATTGTTTTTCATCTTTAATGCATTATGGGAAAATCAATTTTACTATCTCTTTGGTTTCTTGTTCCTGGTGTTTTGCATTTTGGTAATATCTGTGTCACAGATATCAATTGTCATGGTCTACTTCCAACTTTGTGGCGAGGTACAAATTTTTATATAATATTTTATTGGATTATAAAGAAATAAATATTTAAATAATGTTGAATTGTTATTTGTTTATAAACACCAAATTAAAAAATGCATGAATTGAAATAAATTTTATTATTTTTGTGTTTGGTGTGTATAAACAAATTAAAATAACTTGTTACTTATATAAATCTATATGTAATAGATAAATGTAAAATTTTAATTTCAACTTGTTGTCTATGTCTCTGTTTACCTTCAATTTCAGGATTATCACTGGTGGTGGAAGAGTTTTATTGTGTCTGGAGGATCTGCTGTTTACATTTTAATATATTCTATCTTTTATTTCTTCACCAAACTTGAAATAACTGAGTTTATACCAACATTGCTTTATATTGGATATACGGGTAACACACTTAATGTATATTAAGTAATCGTAAAAATGTCTTATATTTACTGAAAATATATATCTACTGAAATATTTAAAACATTTTACAGAATGATAAATAAACTGGCGGTCCACCTGGTGGCAAGTGGCCACCGTCACCTATACACATGAGGGAGCCACATACAGGTCATTACGTTTGTGGTATCACTCTTTTGTTGCCATTGCAGAGGACTAATATGTTGTGCTTCCATGTCCAATAATTTCAGTTACATTTGTTTACAAACAAGATGCTTCGCAGCTGTGAGATTAGAGTGGTATCCATGCAAATGACTTTGTATATACAAAGTCAAACATTGGTAAAATTTTGTGATATAAATTATAATTATCATGTAATTTCAGGACTCATGGTGTTAACATTTTGGCTGTTGACTGGCACCATTGGCTTCTTTGCAGCGTATACATTTATTAGAAAAATATATGCTGCTGTGAAAATTGACTAGATTAAACTGAAGTACTAAGATATTGTGTACATAGTGAAGTATGTATTGAGTAGTTTGATCTGATTGGCGAACAAATGTTGACAATAGTGAGTTATTGCTGAGAAGTATTTGAATGTTATATAGGCAAGATATTGCATTTTTAGTCATTAAATAATAAATTAGCATAAAATGAAATTATAAATAATTTTATTTATAATAATTTTTTGTGATTGCTTGTAAGTATATTTTAAAATCACATTGTAAGTTAATTTTTGTGTCCTAAGACTGGCTTGTTATATTTTGTATAGCACTTTTGCCCTAGGTTTACTTATATTATTAATATTTTCCAATAAATCCTCAACTTTTAATTACAATTATCAATTAAATAACTGTCTACGTAATTTTATTTTCCCTTAAACTAAGGTAACATGACATGACACAGGTTATCCGCACGACCGTTCTGACGACAACCCCCGGGTAAACCGAGTTCAAGCTTTTTAATAGGCGGACTACTATAATTAATTTAAACAATAAAAAACGCTATTGTTAGCTATCTGCATGAGACGGGAAGTTACATATATGGTGAATCAAAAACTATGGGACCACAACACCTTTTTTTTGTGCCTTATTCAAATGTTAACAGGTTTTTTTTAAATAAAGTGTTAAGTGAAATCCTTACTAATATTATATATGCGAAAGTAACTCTGTCCGTCTGTCTCGCTTTCACGCAAAAACTACTGCAGGGATTTAAATAAAATTTGGTATACAGATAGTCTAGACCCTGAGAAAGGACATAGACTACTTTTTAATGCTAAGAAATGGTTGTAAGGGGTTTAAATTGAAGATGAAACGTTCTAATCATTTTTAAAGCTAGAAGCTTGAAACTTATTTTTTAAGTTTTTGACTATTAATGTGACATTCAAAGATTGTACGAATTTTACCCTCAAGGGGGTACAATTAAATATGGAATGAAATGGAAATTCTTCATTCGTCTCTATTCCTATATTACTTGCGAACGAAGTCGCGGGTACAGCTAGTTATAAATATATATTTCGCAATGGCACTATGGTTTGCGCTTTGAAACATTATTTAGGTAATATGTTTATTACTGGGTACTGATAAACAAAAGAGCTATCATTTGGGAGTATCATAAAGGGTCTTTAGTTTTGTGTTTAACCATAGTAAAGATAATTAAGTACCACTTATAAATATTTCTATTTTTTTATATATTATAACGCAACAATTATGCCACTGGGTATTTAATTTAAATTGGGAATAATAAAATAGTTCACCTGCTTTAATGAGCTGATAGTAAGCCTCCTGTACAGGTTAATTGATATTTATTATTGAATTCTCACCGTCGCAATTCGCAATATCGCAATTTTCTTGTTCAAATGTCTATATAAATATAGTCTTTGATATAATAGAAACTACAAAATTATACGCATTATAGCAAGGCAGTATTATTACAAAGACGCAAGCTACTTCTGTCTCATTTATGTCTGCTATTAAAAAAATTGCTTTATATGCTGCAATTTAAGTTTGAGATACGTCATTTACGGCAGTTATAGTGTTAGTTCTTCGGAATAGTTACATAGCTATTGCGAAGAACTTTCAATGAGTAGTACCAGCATGTAATCGCCGTTGAATAAAGTTATTCGCTATTCCAGTTACATAAAAAAAAAACTTCAATTGATTGTCAACGAAATGTCAAATGACCGGTAGGAATGTAATGTCAATAGTGATTTGTTGGTGATAAAATAAATATTTATTTTTACAACGTAGTATTTTCTACGTAATTCAGACTTCTAAATTTTTATGTACAAAATGGACACCAAAGTAGCAGTAGTAACTGGCAGCAATAAAGGCATAGGATTTGAAATCGTGAAAGGATTATGTCAAAAATTTGAAGGTGCTGTGTACCTCACAGCTAGAAATGAAGATAGGGGACGACAGGCAGTGAAGAAACTCGAAGAATTGGGCCTGCGGCCTTCGTTTCATATATTAGACGTTACATGTGAACAGAGTATTCAAGAATTTGCAACATACATTTCAAGCAACTATATTGGAATAGATATATTGGTGAACAATGCCGGTATCTTGGACTTCGATAAATCTGTTTCATCTTATGAAGATGCTAAAAAACTGATTGATACAAATTTTATAAGTTTGGTATCTGTTTCAAAAATATTATATCCATTATTGAAGAACAATGCTCGCGTAATCAATATTAGCAGTGACTGGGGTTTGTTGTCAAACATCAGGAAGCAGATCTGGCTTGATACATTAGTAAAAGATGATCTAACTGTTGATGAAATTTTGCTTTTTGTTAATGATTTCTTACAGTGTGTCAAAAATGGCAAAAATGCTATGGTATCATTTGCAGGACACTATGGAGATTATAAAGTATCCAAAGTAGCAATGTCAGCATTGACATTTGTACAACAGCGGCAGTTTAGTGAACAAGGCACAGATATTTCTATAAATTGTGTTCATCCTGGTTTTGTAAAATCTGATATGACAAAAGGAATGGGTGATTTTACTCCAGAACGTGGGGCCCGAGCACCTTTATATTTGGCATTAGAAGCTCCACAATCTCAAAAGGGCACATTTGTTTGGCATGACTGTCACCAAGTAAATTGGGATGATTAAGGATGTAACAGTTTTGTCATGTTTAGTGTTAAAACCATGTTAATCCTGTGATAAAAGTGTCACCTGCATAAACTGAACTATAATATATTTTTCTTTTAGTTAACTAAATTTTTATTAGAACAACCCATCCAAATAGACACAATGCTTGACTCTTAATATTGCCATTTAGATTCACAATTAAATATACTATCAAACATTGAAATGTTAGTGTCTGATTTTCGTAGTGATATTCTTTTCAATGTATATGTTATGTATGTTCTAACTTGATTTAACTCTAAGTATGTAATTAATTCTGGAGACAAAACTTATCCTATTTAATATATGTTCTTATTATTAACATTCATATGGATCATTTAGTGTTAATAATACTGAACTTTGTTAATAATTGTATTATTCATATATATTTTAAATTGGAACAAAATTTCAAGTACTAATATTGATTGACTGATTCTATGTTGCAAAGTAATGATTTCAATAAGTTGTTGTTATGTTGGATTTATTATTAGATGTTATTTGTTAAATATTTTTATATTAATTCCTTTATTGTACCTCCTTTGAGTTCCTTAAATCCTTGAATAATTTGATAGTATTTAAAAGCCTGTTTTCCTAGTTAATATCTGTTTGATTGATAAAATCAAAATTATAATCACATCATCATGTAATGAAATGTGTAATAAGGTTTCTATATTTATAGCTTAGTAAATTTGATCTATTGAGTATGATAAAATAGTATCACAGAAAAGTGCATCTTTCAGTACTACTCTTATTTTAACATTTTCTAATTAGACTATGTAGTTCAACTATGTAGTCAGTAACATCACATAGAGTTACAAGTTGTGTGCCCATGTGACTGAGGCCTAATCTACATTACAATAAAAAGAGTAAACATTTAAATATTTCACATTGAGTTTTTTTTAAATATATAGTTACGGAGAAAAGGAGAATAAATGAGGTAATTTCAAAGAAATTTTATAATTGTCTATTCTAGTGATCAGGGTAACTTAAAAACTCGTGAATATTTTTTCAGAATCGATCCAGCAAATCGCGTTATGTAACTTGACGCATTTATAAACGAGACACGGGTAATACGAACGAAAGTGTTAAATAAATAGCATATTTATGTAAGTGGGTAATTTATAACATTCATTTATAGTAGCGTCAAATCTTTGTTCTTGACTGTTAATAACACTTTAATAGAATTACCTCATTAGTACTTTGTATCGCTAACATGCTTGTTTTACAGTACCATAATTACACCGTTCAGCTTGATTCTATTATTGCTCTGTACAAAGTGTGCAGACAAATGGCCTAATTGAAAACTATGTAGTATTATGGTTTGATATAAATGCACTAAGTTATTTGTAATAATAACACAGTGCATATAAATATCAATCCTACTAGACAAGAATACAGACAAATTGAGATCCACCTCCTTTTTGACGTAACTTTATGTACTTGGTAATTTTTTTAATGATTGACAATGGAATTGCCACAATTCAGGTCAGTTAGCCCATCGTCACCGATTCGCCAAGAATGTATCAGGAAGCTTCCCCTGGAAACCATTTCCAGGGGAAACTTCGTAGTGGTCAATCTGACCTGGTACATTGCTAATATTATGGTCCACAGTCCACATTACTGAAAATCCCCGTCCCATTACTTGGTACTAACGGTATGATTTGATAATTATTTAAAAAAAAAATCCAATAACCATTTGGGATTACGTAGCAAAGGATAGACAATTGGCAATATCACTGCTTGCTTGCATTGGGATATGGGATCACGAAAATCTAAATGAAATAAAAATCATTCCTGATAATATATTTTTCCTAGCAATAAGATTTCCTATTGTATCTACTACTTTTACATATCACAATAAATATAGTTTATTTTGTGGATAAATATAGTTTCTTCACTTTCTATAGACAAGTAAATCTCTTCACTTAGCTCTACATCCTTTTTATTCTTGAAATCAATAAGGCGTAGGAAGCCCTTCAAAGAAATTTGTATGTAATTAAATAAATATATTTATTGGAAATTGACGTAGATAAACTAAGTTCTCATTGGTTTTCGTTTAAGAACAATGCTCTCACATTGATAACGTCAGTACCTAAAACCATTATCAGTTCTAATTATTAATACCACAGTCAATACAAATTGATTCATATATTATATATAAGTATTCTAGATTATATGTTTATATGAGCTACAATTTCGTTTGAAAATAAAGTAGTTCTCCTTAGTTTGTTACCCCTTTGCCAACTGGCAAAGTCATTTGTATCACAGGTCCAATTATATAATCTAATAACCAAGATAATGTTTGGTATATTTATAATAGTTACGAATGATTTGACTTATCATATGTGTCTGTAATATACCTATTTAGACATTTAGATTTGATTTAATGCCGTTTAATACTTACCCTCGAGATCGTATCTTGTTTGCTATTCCAATTCTGTAAAAATATATTATGTTATTATGTCTTATATACTACTTACAGAATGTGCATGGCACGTGTCTGCATTCAATTACAACATTACAATTACACAGTTGGACTCTGGTATCTTTCCAGCAACATCACTTATTAGTATTATGGCCATTACGTACATCTTATATTATATACAGTGAAGATACTTCAATAGCAAGTACAGATGCATAAAACTAGGACATCTCAAAGTAACAATTACACAAGAATAGCTAAAAAAATCGGGAAATTTCAGGCTTGTTAAATTTGAAAATTTTAATAGGCTACTTAAAGAAACTGATTGTGTTAACTAAACCAATTATGGCCCTCAATGGCACTGGTAACTCGAGTTGAATAAGCAGTTAAGCATACCTATGGCAAACTTAGGCCTAGATCACGGTATATCTAGAGGAGTTAAAAATTATCACTCTAAAAATATTATACAATTCCTGTCCTTGAGAGGTGTAAAAAGCGCATTCTAACAGGGCGAGCATAATAGATCTCTGAAAAATCTCAGTGCTACAGGTTTTTCTAAACACCAGATACTAGCCTAAATAAAAAGAAGTGAAGATGTGTACAGAGGTACAAATCTTATTATGGATGTGTTAATGTATAGGTAGTGTTGTTTTGTAAGGATTCTGATGTCGCAGGCTGTTCTATTTACATAATTGTATTACAAAATCGCAATGGCGGACAATTAAAGGGTGGGCAGGGCTTATGGAGTAGGTATGATATCTAATCCATAAGCCAACTAACTAGAAGCCTTTCTATGGTTTTGTTGACGTTGGATACATATTTTTTTTTATCTACAGGTCATTTTGAATCAATGTAGGTACAATAACTTGATAACTGTAGATTAATGTAACCAGTATTGGCAGCGTAGAACTCTTAGATATTTAAACAAAAAAGAAATAAAGAAGACAATAAGAATCTGAATATAGAAATTCCTGAAGGCAATTTCATCTGAACGACATGGGACACACTCAAATTCCATCCGTTTAGCAGCGTTTTCGTCTTTTGAATTATACATTAACGACCTATTACTTCCATATTGAATGAAACGACATTGTAATCATTATACTTAATGGATTTATATGATCTTACTCTTTATTGCGTTTCAAGAATTAAGAGTGGGACATATATTTTTTATTTACGTGATGATGAATGATTACGATGGATATCATACAAACTTTAGTGAATTTGTGACCCTATCATTCATTATTAATTTATATTGTATTATACGAATTAATTTCTCTGGTAATAAAGCTGTACTAGCAGGTTTTTCCCAGATTTACATGGGCAGGGATAGAAACACGAGAAGTAAAGGTGAGTGTTGATGTAATGTCAGTGAAGAGGGTCCCTAAACATATACCCGGACAAGTGTCGGGAGCTACTCGGAGTTTCCCTTTCTGCTGCACGAAGGCCCGCACTCGCACGGTGAATCCATAGAATGCTAAGAAATTTTTCTCTCTACAATTCGCATACGTTCGTAATACATATTTTATGTTACCGGTGTAGATATATATTTATTTACGTATTTTTATTCTGGTAATTGTATTTTATTTGTAGGCATATACAAAAATTGTCCGTTAGAATAACGTGAATGTGTAATCTCTTTTCCTCAAGTAGGCAAACTGTGGTTTTATATCTTTTCTTAATTGCCTAGATTTGAATATAATATTCTCTGGTTATATAGTTATATATGTTGGTTACTCTGGTTACATAAGTTGTAAATTGACATATGACAACCTTTTGAGCTGTAGTACAGGTTCGGTGCGTGCTAGGCTTTTGGCCGTGGGTGCGCCTGAGGCCGGCTACTGGCTTCACGCGTACCCTTCGTCAAATACAGGAACATTTCTTGAGCCTGACACGCTCCGAATAGCAACCTGTCTACGGCTTGGGGTTCCGGTCTGCGCTCCTCACAAATGTCCCTGTGGCAGTGATGTCGACAAACTAGGACATCACGGACTGTCATGCCAAAAAAGTGCAGGCCGTTTCTCGAGACATGCCGCACTTAACGATATCATACGCCGGTCCCTTGCCACCGTTAACATACCAAGTCTACTTGAGCCGACTGGTATTGCAAGAGACGATGGTAAGAGACCGGACGGTATGAGTTTGATTCCATAGAAGATGGGCCGTGTGCTGGTATGGGATGCAACCTGTGCAGACACGCTGGCTCCATCCCATCTACATGGAACCAACAACAGAGCTGGTGCGGAATGTGAAGCGGCTGAAAAAGCCAAAATATGTAAATACAGGGGTCTAGGCTCCCAATATGAATTTGTCCCAATCGGTGTCAAGACCCTTGGTCCGTGGGGTCCTAGCGCTATAAGACTTTTCAAAGAAATAACTAAAAGGTTAGGTTAGGTTAGGACATCACAGAAGACCGAAGAGCTGGCAGCTACCTTGGACAAAGAATTCGTCTAGCTATTCAAAGAGGGAACGCTGCCAGTATCTTCGGAACGTTGCCTAAAGGGACCCCTTTTAATAATATATTTTAGTCATCATATTATATATTTTTTTAAGCTTTTTAATTTTAGGTTCTTAGTTGTACAATTAGGTTATGTAAATACTAGTAATAAATTATTACAATTATAAGATAAAAAAAAAAATTCTCTGGTTATATTTTCAAATTATCTTTTTGGCGTCGATGTTTGTGATGTGATTAAACACACAAGGTAGGTATTTTGGTGACAACCAGATTCAAACTCACCACCGAGTCGACTCAAAGTCGTGGCGATCCATGGCGTCCATGGCACGTGGCGAGTTGTCCTGTATTATGTTTAAATATTAAAATTAAGAATATATACATATATATGTAGTAATAGGTTGTTCCAAATTTACCATTAGATATCTACATGTAAATATTAGATAGGTGTTCATTTCACATACGAGTACTTACCTAATCTATTAAAACAATTGGGCTAAAAGTAATAACAAAATTCCCTTTAGCAAGTAGTCGCTATGATGGAATTGATATCTATCATGCGACCGTCGTTATTTTGATTTCCTTACAACTTGCAAGCAAATGAAAATACTACAATAAACACTATTAATTAGGAGTGAGTGACAGGGAGGCATGCCTGTAATGTCCATCAGTTCAAATGTAATAATAGTTTGTTTACATTGTGACGAGTGCGGTGGCATAGATATTACTGTGTGTACCTATGTGTTGATTGTTTCAGCGCACTCAAATGATATGAGTCCGCTTTACAAAATATTGCCTATTTGATTACAGGATAGGGGGACAAGTTGGCTTTTGAATAACTTAGTTTTATGGATCGTGATTGCACGGCGGCGTTGTTTAATGGGGATTATTTGTGAGAATCTGTTATTTAAACTGTGATATAGGTATACAGAATATTGAGGTTTTTGACATGTGCTGGTGGTTTCGTGTTTTGTATGAGCTTATTGTCTATGTTTCTTTTTTATTTTCTTTTTTTAATGAATGAACACGAAGTGGTACATCAGCTTCGCGAGAGTATTTGGGTACAACATTAGTATATACAGGTCGGATCTTAATTCACGACAATAGTAGCAGAATGAAGTCTTTGGTCAATTAGCCCATTGTAGTGAATTCACGAGTAATTCACCATGACGGTTTCCCGGGAATCGCGTGGAGTTGACCTCTCATTGTACATAGCTTGCAATCCCCATCACAAATAATCTCCTTCTCCTATAAGAATGTGTAGGCAATGTTATTGTTATGTATTCAAGCTGTGTCTTAAAAATAGGGGTTAGTTGTAAAGAGAGTAATAAGCAAAAAGGTAGTATCATCTTTGTTATAAGTTTTTATGAATTTGAACCACTTTCAACAAGTAACCATCTGAAAATAATATTTGAAATATTGATACTAAATCTTGCGACGTGACTGAGAAGTTTGTATGAAGATTATATAAATTATTTTCAACTCTTTCTTTATTTTGCTTTTGGAAAATTGTTCAGTACTATTACTAGATTTACAACTAATAAGTATACTTCATAACAATGTGAATTGATATAAATAGTAAGTATCTTACTTACTATTTATAGGGTGAAGAGAAAATTGAAACTTTCGTCTTCTGATATATTTTAAAATATTCAGTCATCTTATTTCGAAGCCAATATTGTCAGTTACAAGACTATAAGATATTCTTAAAGGTTAACTTATCTACTAATATTGTTATGTGCACATTACCTATTGATAATCTAGAAATAGACAACTCTTTTTTCGACTGTACGTACCTAATAGGCAAAGCAATGTTTTAGATAAAGGGTGTAAATAAATAAAAGAATAGATTTCATAAATATTTGTATTAAACTGGCCTAAATAAATTACAACTTAAAATATACTTAAACTAAAATTTACTTAATACATTCCAAATAGCGTTCGTATTTTCAACTTTCAGCAGTTTTACCGCTCATACCTATGTACCTATTGTAAGAGATGTATCTCACTTGTCATCGTGTTACTGATGATATGTTGTTGACGGCATTATGAAATCTAAAGGTGATGGATAGGTGTACCACACTATAGTTTTTGAAGTTCAATTAGTCACAATCTCTAGTATATCATGGTATAGAAAAACATAGTTAGAATTCTTTGGTGTTCTAGCCGTTAAATCCTCATTTGCACTTTAATTAAATTTACTTACGCTTACCAGTTCTTCAAATAGCTAGTAGCTATCAGTTTTTAGGTATCATACATATAAAAAGGGGACATTAAAATTTCCTTAAATTTTCCTACACGACTGTGAATAACTAAATGTATCACTGTCGGTATGTATAGTACGTAAAGAAAAAACATATAAGTAGGTACTCTAATAACTCTATATTGTTTTATCAACAGACATAAAAATATTTTTTTATGTTAGTGATATTTAAATAGATTTTATGTTTATTTCGAGATAGAGTTATTTATGCGTGGTTTTATTTGCAGAATAGGTAAATGTTTCTTTTTAAAGTATGACAATATCTTGTTCATAATAGATATCACCTACATATACCTATATAAATAAAGGAACGTAACATTTTTGCTGAGATATTCGGTCTCAAGGTAATTATAATAGCCTCAAATCGTGTCCAGCATTCAATTGTAACATGTTTAACTCTTTAACATACATATGAACAAACTCTTACAACTATAGATAGGTACTAGTTAAATGCATTAACTCAAAAATAAAGCAATTACCTACGTGATCACTCAAAGTCGTACTAATATTAATTAACATTTAAAAACAGTGCTTGTACCTACAGTACGCTATTTAAAATTGGTGTTTAAATAGCAATTGCTTATTGCATTTTCAAGCAATTGATTAGATGTACTTTTTCGTTAGAAATAAGTATTTGTAGTATTGGTCGAGTTTAAATATACTCATATCTATATTTACAAGTCAGTAGTTCGTTTTACGGGGTGTTTCATTACAATAAGCATAATATATTATAATTTCACATCCCGGTTAAGCAAGTGGGTGAATAAAAGATATATCCCTGTGAAGTCTAAGGAATTTTAGGTAGCTATTTGTTTAACTAATTTATAATTCATATATAAACCTCAATCTATATACACATATCTACGTATATCTTTAAAATACAAAGATTAATTTGTTTTAATTATTATGAAATCACTTGTTCTTTTATGACTTCCACTAAATTTTAAATGTTACATTTAGTGAACAATACAATGCATAAGAGAAAAGCTATACGATTAGACCTGGTAATATCTTCACATCACTAAGAATGGTAACAGACCAATCCGTAAATAAAACATGGTAACGGTAATATTACAAAATGGTAATGAAATTCAGATACTATCTTAACATAAGATCAAAACTAAGCATAATACACTTACTTAATAAATGATTAGTTAATAAATCTATTCTAAACTAAATAAATAAAGCGTTTGACACTCGACTAAATAAACACTTCACTTTGGTTTGTATTAGACTATACCTACTTAAGTACATTCGGGCACTGCAAAAATCATGGGACTTTATAAAATCCAATATATTAATACAAGGTAGGTATTACTTTACACATTTTATCACTATACCAATGGACGGATTTGTTTATTTTGGAATATAGATTATTATATTGTGTATAATTATAAATACAAAAAATATTTACGACGTATTGTCTTCAATTAATATGGTAAATATGACATCAATACGTTGTTATGGCCGTTTCACAGGATAACTTTAAGGCACTAAAAAGTAACAAATATTGCTAATTATGTAATTATGGTCTAGGCGTATCTTTTCATTTTCAATACTTTTCTAATAATGTTTACCTTATTTTTGTTAGTAGGAAAGTTTTCTAAGAAATTATAATTTCTACCCGCCATCTTCAATTAATACCTAGACTCATACAAATTTCACAATAATGGTTATCTGGATGGAGCTTGTTTACTTGGGTCATTTAAATCTTTGGCTACTTTCGTAAGCTAGATTGAATTTAACTGGTCAATAATATCTTCCATACAAACAATGCTACTGACAGATAAATTGGTTACCTATCAACAAACAAATTCATAAATTATAAAACACATTCATACGTCTATGACTCGTGGTTCCTATTAACATTTTCAAATGCAAGTTACCTGATGTATTAATTGCAACAAATGTATGTGACTATCTTCATAGCGACCTTCGTATTTATATGAATCCATATCACACACAGCTGACAAAACTCATGTCGTATAATGAAAATATACAGATAATTTGGAATTATGTTTTCTTTTTAAAAAAACCAGATTAATTAGTTATAAGTGGAGACAAGGGTGTTGGTGATTCATCATAAAATCTATAACGCTGGGGTAAAGTGATATTAGTCGGCTCGGGTACGTTAGAGTGCTGCGAGTCTCTATGTCTGCGAAGATCTACCTTCCTCTGGAACGCTTTGTCACAAAGTCCACAAGAGAACGGTTTGTACCCAGTGTGTTTGCGCATATGTGTGATAAGATTTGAGCTCTGACTGAATGCCTTTGAACACACTACGCATTTATGCGGCTTCTCTCCTGTAACAATGACAATTTATGAATAGCTAAATTGATATATTGTACATTTATTAATGTGTCGATTGTGTATAGTATTGATATTTTTCTCCTATTTAGTTTTTTGTTTCAGATAGCAACAAAGTGGTAGTCAACGCTCTCCTATTACAAATAGTGTTTTTTGATATTTGTAGTTTAACATTGAATAGTTTAAAATATTCTTCCGGTCCTCACTTAAAATTTCTAGATATTACCGGCATTAGTGAATGTCGGCCCTATATTGTAAATAAATAATAGTTCCTAGCGTAATTTCAATTTCATTTGTAATTAATTCATAAATCAACGTAATAGATATAGAGTGTAGGTACATATCGTTAAGTAATTAAACTTCTTACTTACGTATACTCGAACGACGATACTTGTCATAATCATCTACTATTTATTATTTATCGCGCTGTTCCGAACTGATTTAATATTCAGTATCGTCTACTGGCAAGTATTTACAAACTTTAGCCGTCTTGTTCGATAATATCAATTACAATATTTTGGTGCAATTAATAATTGCTGTATTGTTTTAATGTTTATAAATTTATAATATAGTAAGTAAATATATAAAAGTTGAAAAATATAATGTGATTTTATTGATAGAACAAGATTGATGTAGAGTTTTTGTTAAGCGTCCGTCGTAGTGCACGTGAAGGCCTGCGAAGGTTGCGCGGCTAATTGCAGGCCGAGCCGCATTTTGGAATATTGATGATGAGGCATTTATCGGGAGGACGAGTGCCATGTAAGGCTGCTGTAAATCATTCGGAACAGCGTGGAGACGTGACGAGATGTCTCCGGCCACGACAAATATGTCCGCACATTTTTTAGCTGTTTAATTCGTCTTGTTGAACTAACTGGAAAAGGGGTTAAAAAGGCTTCTCTTATTTTATTTACAATCGTTTCTCACTAAACCTTTTTTAAAGTATATGGATACAAGTAAATCGTAAGTAAATTATATAAATGTATATCCAATTTAATGCACATTGATAGAAGTAGACAGAAATACCTAGGTATTATTTGCTTATTATAAGTATGTAATATTATCTTATCTGTGGTATAAATACCTAACTATACTTTTATTACGAATATAGAACAATGAGCCGTGACTAAATAAGAAACGGTCCCTTATCTTTGCAGGCTTTATGGGGCAACTTCAGTATTCCCATTTGTATATGTTAATTTGGAATTATTAATAAAACAAATTCTCTCCGGTACTCGAGCGGATGACTAAGTTAAATGGCATTATTTTATCAACCTAACAATATATCTATGATGTTAGTCAAAACGGATTTTAGACTCAAACCTACTCATACGTAACTTTTATGCCTGTATTGTATTTAATTGTATAATTTTCTGAAACAGTTAGGATACAGTTGTTTCTATGTATTATTTATAGTACCTAGACCTAAGTGGTAGTATTCGATGCCAACTAAAACGAAAGCTTTTTATGAAATGATAAGTCTTAACACTTATAGAAGTTATATGAAATAACTATCGTAACAATTTGTAACTTTCACACTTGCTCCAAATAATAGATAATTGCTTGGAAATAGATTGTTTTGTGTAATTGGAGGGGACGAAATTTATACTATAATTTATAAGTTCGTGAAGTAATAGAAAATTAAAGTGAATTGTTAGATATATGTAGGATTTAATAAGATATTAGCTATATCTTGTGCCACGGCCCCCGTGGCCTATCTATGACAATCGCTTATTCAGCTATGAGAATTTTTATAATCGATATTTTTTTATAAATGACAACCAGATAGCTGACAATAGTCTATGACTACCACCGTCCCCAATATACAAGAACAACACTCTGGATATCACGTAATCATGACACCAGTGATACTATTTATAAGGTGCCATTCAGAGGATAAAGTTGTTATTCCCTTAACCTATAATTTCACTGTCTAATCTGTACCTTACAACTGAAAAACAGCTTAAAAAGCAAGCTGATTGTCAGTTGGAATACATGAGATTTAGAACCACGTAAATGGCTTTTTATAGTGAACCTCTGGTAAGGTGTGTGTCTTAAGTATTTGTGTTCAAAACAATTACTTAAATTACATATAATAGATGTTATATAAGTAGGTATTTCAACTAACCTGTATGTATATATGTGTGTTTCTTCATATCAGACTTCTGATGAAAACGTTTTCCGCAATATTGACACGGATATGGCCTGGTATCCGAATGGATCAGTAGATGTGTCGACAGAGTGCTGGAGCGCTTAAAACATTTGCCACACTGTTTGCACTAAACAAAAAAGAAAACACATATCTGTAGTTCCATCTATACATTGCATACGAACATTAGGTATACCTAAGTAGGTTTTTTAGTATAACTGGAATCCATACTGATATTATGACTATATTTGTCTGTATATTTGTTACCATTTCACGAATAATTGGCTGAACAGATCTTAATTAAATTTGGCGTGAAGATAAATTGTTGGACTGGACATATGATATCTTTTATTTAAAACTAGACATACAAAGTCGCGCGTGACAAGCAGTGGCCTAATAATAGCCGAATTCAAACATGCTCCTTTATAGAGCCGATTGAAAAATTAAATACATTGATGTCGATATATATTCATATATTAAATATGCGGACATATATCTTAATTAAAAACATTTGCTTCGTCTTCCAGTGGCCTATTTCAGAAAGAGAATAATTAACGGATAATGTTAATGTATAATTATAATAAATGTAGCCGACAGCGTCCATCACCTTTGCGGTACAGCTAGCAATAAACTAATAATAGGGTAGTATGAAATCCCTTGTATATTTTTCTTTGATTTCCTTCAAGAATCAAGGCTATGAATTTTTTTCATCGCCTAGTAATTAGTCGCTATCAACGGGTTATTATTCTTTCTACGTGGAGGAATTATATATGTACATGTACTAACATCGGAGTATTTTTTAACCTTAATTTCAATTTACTAGAAAGATATAAAACGTTCAGGAAAATATGTATAGTACCTACATTTGTGTTGTTTATATTTAGTTAAAATTCTTTTGTAGATAGATACATCAACTATAAGATATAAAATTAAATAGTCGCAGAGTGAACTGGTGTTACCAATGTTACAATCACAAAATACAATTGTATAGGTATGTCGTATGTACATAGTAAACAAATCCTCACATACCTATTTACCTTTACAATTCCGTTCACAATATGAATGTGTAATAGACAAAAGTTTCTGTAGAACAAACTTCGGTTCTCCACTTTAGATTTATTTGATCAGATGGTTTTGTAGGAATGCTGTCGAAACATATTTCTTTTGGAGTTTATGCGTGTAAGGCTATAAGTTGTTTGAAGGCAGATTTCATCACGTTACTATATACACAATTATTGTAAATGTTTTTGGACATACATACACTAATATTTTACGAATAGAATTGAATAGATATCTAAATGACAATAGGGTACGCAACGATAATATAATTGAGTTGAGACATATAGATAATTGTAAAGTAGTTGACTCTCGTTTAGAAAGAACAGTGACAAAAGTCCCGGCAATACAATATGCATGTATTGAGCAAGCAAACTATGCCGTAATATTTTAGACATTATATGAGAAAGTATTACGTAATATACATTTTGTGCAATTTTTCTTACTCCTTGGCCTCGGTGATCACAGCCTTACTTCCGGGTTCGATTCCTCGTACAAACACATTTATTTTTAAGTATGAGCTATGTTATATAAAAAATGTCTATATTAAATATGTACATTATATGTAGGTATGAACATTTTAACTCTTTATAGATTATTATTATAGTAGTATATGTATTTGTATCAATATTGTCTAGTCCCCATAACACAAGCTCTGCTCAACCTAAGAAAAGTTATAGGATAAAAAACTAAATTATTATTGAGCATGGTTCTAAGCGCAATCGTTACTAGTAACAATTGAATATGTTTATTAATTCTAAACATAGTTTTGTAGTTACGTAGTATTCCTAGCGACATTTTGTTGGTGTTAAATACTTAGGTATCTGTATATTACGAATGGACAATATTATGGCAATTAATTTAAAATTGATACTAGATGGTAATTATTCTAAAATTGATACTTATCAATGCTGAAATTATTGAACTTTATGGATATAAAATCTCATTTTCAAAATTTAATTTATAGCAATCGAATGTTTTGAACATATTCATTACAATGTATAGTACCTATCGATTAATTAATAGGTAGGGCCAGTTGGGTATGCAGTGTATGTATGGTAATCCTCGACACAAATCTGCGTAGCGGTCCGCTGTGACAGTTGGCTACGCAGCTGCCTGACTCGCGCTTCACAAAAACAGCTACTTTTTTGATCGTCTTTTTATGTACCGTTGGTTGATGCACTCTTACAAACAACACAGGTGCTAGGGTATGACTGTCCACATATGGTTATCGGTTTATAACTTGTAGGGAGGTGATTTTTTATAATACTCGGTTAGGTATTATTAAACTATAGTTTTTTTTTTAAAAGAATGTAACGTTTCACAGATAAGTTAGGAATGAATTTTTAATAAACGAGAATCACATATTAAATTCTTACGTTTTGTAGAAGCGATTGATAAATAAATTCCAGAGGTAAAAAGGTATATCTAAATGTATACGTAACAATAATAAATAACAGAGGTCTGTTTTTCATTTACCTACTATAAAAAATTACGTAATTTTTGTTGTATTTTATTAATGTTATTTCGCTTTTTTTCTTATTATTTTAATTTTGAAAACATAATATATTTTTAAATAAAACTATAAATGAATAAGAAGTAATGGAAAAGATTTAAATAGGGGCCTACTAGATTTTATAAACAGTCGTAAGAGTCATATAAAACACTAAATCATATAGTCCTATTAAAACTTTTGATTGGCAGATGTAACAGTGAATCATAATTCAGAAAATTCAGTATAACAAGATAATTTCAATTCAGTTATTCACATATTTAAATTATTACGCCATTAAGTGACTTTTCTAGGTTTTTAGACTATTATTAATATCTCTATTGGCCTTATAAAAAATGCATTTTTTCACGTTATCTAAAACTTTCTAGAGTTTAAAAAAAATATTATTCTTAAGATACCAATAATTATATTAAAAACTTTTGCAGGATGTCAATACATCGCAGGACCGTAATGCCCATTTATAAATTGACGATAAAGTGTGGAAATATCGAACGGCGTTGCAACGTTTTATCATCGTATGACACAAGGTAATTATTCGTCCAATTACAAACCGCTGCACCGTGATATTAAAAGTCGGAATTTTGATTAAAACCGATGCGGATTTTTATAATGGCACAGTAGAAAAAATAAAATACAAAAATGGCGAGAATATGGCCAAGGAGGCTATGTGAGTGGTGAGCCGCGTGGTCGCATCGGGGACGAGACGTGCGGCCAGCCGCAGGACTTGTTCCGATATACCTGTACTTATTAAGACAGGGGCAGTTTTTGCTATTTGATTTGTTAAAGAGACTAAAACAGTTATACTGGTTTGCTATTTTTGAACGGAAACTGTACAGTTACACTATACTCGAAGGATGTCGCTGTTCACTTGCATACCACATTATTTTTATAGTTTTTTTCTGCAAATAAGTTGGCATCGTATTCAATAGGTAATAATATATAGATATAAGATTTACCTGGAATGATTTTTCATTTCTATTTTCATTCTTGAGTAGCATCGAGAAGTTAATGTCTCCTGAAGACGGAGGCGGCATCGGATACGTGTGGTGTACAGGGGCTGATGGACACCGCAATGGTTCAGTATTGGAATCATTCTCATCTACATCAGGGGTACTGCGGCATCTCTTTACGAGTTCCAAAGGTGTGTCTGAGTCTTCTAGGCTAAGCTCGAGTGCCCATCGCGAAGGTGGTGATTCGTCTTCTACCTCCACGTGTTCACGCTCACACGCGCTGCCTGGCGACCATATCTGTCGGTTCTTGGTCGATAAATTCAATGGCAGCTCCTCCTCGTCATCTGAAAACAAAGGCATTCATAGATCCACCGCTTTAACCGTTCTTCACGCTTTTAAATTTAAAGTCGGTCGTGTCAAATAAGACGCATGTGGAATGACTTATAAAATCTGTACAGGTGTAAAGATGTTTCGCGACGGTTACGTCAATATTTGTTTAAACATATTGTAATCCCCAAATGACAACTTTGTTTTTGATTTACTAAATGCCATTTCTTTAACATCCAAGGTTTAATTTAATACCACAACTATGTTATGACTCCGACATATTGAAATGTTGGGACTGTGCTTTTTCATGTAAAAACATGATTATAGAATTTCTATATAATTATAGATAGATAGGATTTGTCCTTCCTTCAATCATTCGATTCATTATCCTACTATCATCGTATGCCTACATTTACCTCATTATGCAGTAATTAAACCGTTTCAATAGTAATAAAATTAAGTAGAGTTGTTCAATTATTTATTTTATCGGTATGCACATATAAAGTTATAGATTCAGTATAACTATTATTTTAAGTATACACAGGTGTCAATATAATTAGTTATTTTTTTCGATTTAAATTCAGCTTTTAAATGTAGGAACTACGAAACATGTTTATTATATTTTAATAAGTATCTAACAAAAAATAATAATTTAGAAATAGTGATAGGACACATAATACTGCTTAAAAATGTATATTGTATTGAAAGAGTTATAGTTAAAAAACTCATCAGGAAAATAATTAGAAAATATTTCATTATACTTATATAATTTATAATTTTATTAATAGATAGGTATAAATACGCTTATTTCTAGTGAGATTTACCACTATGTAGAGCTTTTATTGTTTAATATTGTATAGATAATTTAAAGAAGTAAAGGTAAAGTATTTGCCACAAATATTATATAACATAAAAAGACAAGTGAGTAGACAATTCTAGTAGTCGATGAGCCCCGATTTTGAATATGTATATGCGAAGTTAAATGCTTCGGTTGTTATCATTACCGTACCACACTACAAAATGGATAAGAAACAATTAGAACGTTTTAATTTGAATATACGACCGGCAACAATTCCATAGACAACGGATAGAATTATTGTTCAATGTCTTCACTCGTATGAAACATGTAAGTTAACTTCGTACCTAGAGGTAAACGACATGGAAATGACGGCATATCACCGCCACAAGTTATTAATCGGTAACATGCAGCGATAACTATTCTAATGAGGATTGGTAAGGAGAAATAAGCTGCGTAAGGAGGGCGAGGCGAAATGAGGTGTCGCAGTAACGGAAACGTAATTTACATATTTTAGGATTTTTAAAACCTGTTGTAGGTAATCATTGGATTTTACAATTCAATTTATATACCTACCTACTCATGTCAAAGTGTTAATTGTTTGTAAGATTTATGGGTTATACAAGGTTTCTACATTTATAAAACTTTATTACGTGGTTATCTTGTATCATAAGGATATCGGTGTTTTTGCACTTCGAAAATTAAAAGGCCTCTTCCCTAAAAAATAAACCAACTTCATACATGCATATGTTTGTATGTGAAAGTTATAATAATAAAAAAAATTGACAGATTTATAATTTTGTATGTGCCTAGTTTCTGAACTAGGACTACCTATTTAGTATCTTTTATTTAAGTATATCTATACGTTAACATATCAAAACAAAGTCCCCGCCGCGCTTCAAAAGTGATTGAACTTATCATCATGCCATTTTTGTTCATCAAAGAGTAATTTATGTTATATAAATAATAATGGTGTATAATTCATTAAGGTTTGGGGAAATGGGTTCAAATACTATGTTGAAGCTAGGACAGGTCGCTGGTTCAAAATAATAGAATGTAGGTAATATACCATCTCTGGGTGGAGTCTGTCTGGCGTGATCGAATGGTGCAGCCGGGAATTGTGGTGAAGTCCGTGGTAATAGGAGAGGCCACACACCGGCGCCGCCGTAGAGAGCGCCCAAACTGCTGCAGTACATTAGTGCACCGAGACCTGGACATACAAACATATTATTTTATACCTAAAGGCCTATATGATACATTGTATTCTAAAATGAGGTAACCTAATAAGACTACCTACCTAACTATCCTTAAAGTAGAGTTCACTTCCCTTACCGTTTTCCTACGTCCCCATAATTGTTTTTCCAAAAGTCAAATTTGAGATATCATAAATACAAGACAGCGTGCCCTATACCATTAATAAAAATTTTACTAAGTAACGAAATCTATTATACTACATTTTTTTAGACAAATACTTCCATGTAATAGGATTACCTCATGTAATAAATATATTCAGATAGAAATTAGTTTCTATGAACATGTCACAGTTTTTGCAACCAGTATTTGTATGTTAAATCGTATCAGATACAATAGTATTCAAATTGACTATATAACACGGAAATTGCCTAGTTTGTTATTTAAAATATCGTAAGATAATATGCACGTAGGTAGGTATATAACAGTAATAATCTTATTTTTGCAGTTACAAGTAAATGCACTTTTTAACATTAGACACATTTCTATTATATTCATTGGTCTCGGGCATCAAAATAATTTTTTGACAGGTAAGCACTTAAGCCCTAGGTTACTTACCATACTGTTTAAGGGTTCTACCAGCGATTTCAATGTCTCCTAGTTGTAAGAGATCCAATCGTTGTTGTGTCAAGGAGTCCGGTGAGTGTGGAGGTGATCGAGAGGACGGAAGGGAATGTGGGGAGACGCTGCGGTCTGGTGATGGAAAGCGATGAGCCGGCGGCGGCGACGATGGTTGGAACTGCTCCGCCAGTCGTGAGAGCAACACGTGACGCGACATCCTGAAAATATATCACGGTCTATAGCTTTGCAATATTTAAAATTTATAACAAGTACGATATACTAGAAATGTAACGAGATTTATGACGTTGACTCCAATAATTGGGAAGTTAGATCTATATAGACTAATTAAAATTGTAGAACTAAATATAGGAATATATGGCATATTAATGAGAAACATACAGTAAAGACATAATCAATATATAATATAGGAACATTTTAAATTTTTAAACTCTAATTTTGTAAGTTTTATTTCTTAATGAATTGCCTTGTATAAATACGTATTGTACAATTTAATTGGTTTCAATAAACATTCCCTACATAAATACACTGTGCATCTGTATGTATAAGGAAGAGTTTTTATTTATTTATTATAGAGATTTTTTAAGTTGGCTTTTAAGCTAAAAAATAGTTTCTATAATTCTAATTCTATAATAGATTCTTAATACAACTATATAATATTCTTCATTTTAGATATTTAAATTCATCACGAATGCTATTTCTTTTTTTCAAGTGGCTCCACTGAAAATCAGCGCTGTAGTGACACGCAGCGGCACCAGCTGAGTGGAAGTTTTTCAGCATAGACGATTATTAGTATTTAAGTTTTCTTTTTTACTCTGTACTCTTTTTTATGCTGAATAAATGATTATTATTATTATTATTATTATATCTGTGATAAAACTATTAGGCATCTATTTTTACTAAACTTGTTACAAAAACGTGATGTAACGTTACGTTTACGTAAACGCGTGGTTAAATAAGTTTTCGGATAATTTTAGAAGTATGATAGATTTCACTAAAGAGAATTCTAAGTTAATTTACCATTTAATTCTCGGATAGTTACACCTATTCGCACTGCGAAATTTGGTCCGTAATCCTCTTTGTTTACCGCCGAATAAATACTTTTGATTATAATAAAAATGTTATTTTCGAACAGAGAAACGACATACCCAATATTGATAGCCAATCCCTAGGATATTGTGAATGTAAGTATAACTCGAGATAATGGAGAGTATATGAGCATATTGGAATCGGAGGTTAATTTGCTTACATTATATATTGATATATAAAACTTTATATGCAACAGTTTTGACGCAAAGATTATTCTTAATATACAGTAGGGCTATTATTAGGTGGGTTTTTATTATATTGATATATATAAGTCTAGTTTATAACATTTATGTATAGGCATGTATTCCTTGATTCAATAATTTAATAGGCATATATGTACTTCAATATAACAGTACTTTTGGCTTAATGGTCAAAATTGAATAAGTATAAAAAAAAGCAAATTAATTCAATTACCCGTCATATTATTTAGAAGCAATTATAAGATCATAAAGTGTCAAAAATCAATCCAATTAATATAAGTACATATTTTTTAATAAGAGTACCTACATATATCAAATATGTTGACGATCCAATTCCGGTGGGAATGATGACAACCGGCGCTGTTATAATTATGAATTGCAACAATGACAACGTTTATTGCACTAGGCGGCACGTCACGTCGCATACAGCCTCGACGTGCCTTCAAACACATGTGTTAGAAATTGTGTTAACTAACTCGTTGGTTTATGATAATGATAGGAAAATTGTTGTTTAAATGTTGTTGGTAAAATCAAGCTGTCACATAAAACTCTACCAGATCTAAGTGATTAGGTAATCTAACTCTATACTTGTGTGTACCAATTAGCATAACTTTTAATCGATTAAATATATTATACAATTGACTACTAGTTCCATTTAATTATAATTAACATATTTTCACAAGATTCGGCCATTCGAAAAGTGGCGATATTATCATATTTTACGTGACCAACGTCATTATTGGACACTCTATTATTTGTTGACAACATTCGCCCTGATTAATCTGACCCATAGCCGCTGACAGCAAATCGCATTAAAAGCTCAATCAAGTAAATGAAGAATCAGAATAATGGAAGTAGGCGACAGGTAGCGCGGCACCCGTTGCGTACGCGCATTAATAATTCACATGCCGAGTAAAACAATCTTCATTACGCTAATACATATTAGATATTTACAGAGTGACACTCACGATGAATAGATTCCAATTCATATGAAAGCCGACTTCATAGATATACGAGTATAGGCAACAAGGATATGCATTAATCTTCATTACTATATATCCACGTTTAGTGTCACAGTTCATCATAAGTAATGAACTAAAAGAATGATTTGCTGGATTTTATAATTATCTATAGTGAATTTACGATATTATGGTTTGATACGTATCTAACGAATTGCGAGCTTCCCCTGGCAATTAAGTTCTAACTTTATTACAGAAAATAAAACTGTATGGGCACCATTATACCTACAATTCAAATGCCAACAAAAAATGTATCGATAAATGCAGTGTAGGTAAATCAGTTAAATTTTATTTAAGGTTTTTCCTCTGAACAAATTTTATTTTATATTCTTATTCATATGAATTGCTAGTAATGTTAAAGCTTGAGGCTTAAAATGTATACAAAACGAAATTAAGCTATCTATCTCCATGTCAAATCTCGATAAGATCATTTATCCATTTAGTCGGGAAATTCGGAAAAAGGTAAATAGGCAGCGCGGTACAAATTCGCATTTATAAAATAAAAATCTAAATTATTCGTGTTAAGAACCGATTAACTATATTAAGAATGAGTGGATTTTGTTAATTAGTTCATTTTTAAAGTAGTAATCATCATTACATAGTATGAAAGAAAATCGCTGTCGTTGTCTGTCCGTCTCTATGTATGCTTAAATCTTTAAAACTATGCAACGAATTTTAAAGCGGTTTTTTTTTATAGATAGAGTGATTCAAGAGGAAGGTATATACTATATATATATATATATATAATACATGTACACTCGTGCGAAGCTGGGGTGAGTAGCTAGTAATATATAATGTAAGAAAATAATAATTTATTAAAAACAGTAGATAACCAATTTATAGTTTTTTATTATTCTTATGCTGACTGATTACGAAGGCCCGTGTGTAAAAAATAAAAAAAGAGTTACTAGGTGTTACCTGCGACTTCGTCTGATTTTTTTAGTTAAAAGATAAGTCCGTCCTCGTGATACATTTTATAAATATCATATGTTAAGTCGTTTGGTTATAAAAACTTAATACATTTTTACTGGTAGACATTTTAGTGTTTGTAATATTGGTATAGTTATAGAATAAGAATTGCAATTTAAGATGAACGTGCTTTACAAACTTTTCATATATGAACAAATAATGGACTGCTATTACACAATCCAGCAAGAATTATTTATATGTCAGATTGATAGAGCAATTTCATTCAGTTGTTAATTGAATAACGAGTTAACATACGGGGGTGGAATGTCGCAATTTCTTGTTTCAATAACGCAGGTCTTCATTAGATGTCGAACAGTAATTACCTATATTAAGAATGCTGCCACCTCTTTTTTCTATGCTGACACAATGGGAACTTTAACAAGTGTCAAGAAATCAGTCATAGCATAAATGTACATTGTATTTCTATGTAAATATAGTTAGTACTAATACTTGTTGCATTGTGTTTAAAAAAGTAACTATTATTAACAGTATTCTTGTATTATACATAATTATATTATTTCTTATAGTTTATTATTTATATACTTATTCAAATATAAATAAAAATAGTGTAATTTATGATAGTGTAAGTAAATTGGTAAGTGTTGAAAATGAGGTATCAATCATTAATATTTTAGGGTCATGATTTCGAAAATCTATACAAGACACAGGCATTGTATGTTATCATATTCAAAACTTTTAGGTACTAATATCAAATTTAACAGTTGATTAAGTATAGTTTAATTCTAATCATCATTTTTTTGTTTCACATTAAGAATTGTTGTTTCAATATTAAATTTAATATTAAAGCAATCAATTTTATGCACACATAAAAAATGTATAAAATAACAGGAATCAACACCGCTTGAATAGGCGACTGGGCCTAAAAAATCTGATTGCTCCTCCTCTGAGCACGCGTAAACGATTTATGAACTTTAGGAATACTTGTTATGACCATTTTAACATAATTTTGATTAATTTATAATTAATCGAAACTGCATTTGTTACGTCTACTTTAATTGTACTGCACATTTTGAAAACAAAGAGAATATAAATTGCGATCTGATACTAAAACCGATATTTTCCAGACAACCTCTGTCAATATAATCAATACGATGTCACCAATTAAATATTAATTCGTTTACTGCAAATTCTTTAAACAATAATCGGTTATTGTCACAACTGGTTTTGATAAAATAATCATATAATGATCGTTGTGACTAAAAAAATATTCTTACAATATTGGTTGCTTGATTTGTTCATAATGATGCTATGACATGTAAGTATAGAAGATCATTATTATAATTCTGATGGATATTTCATAGTTAATTAATAGAATTGAATAGAAGTACTACTGTACTTAATTTTATTAATTAACTATGAAATAATTACAGAAATACACTCAGCTAAACTTCTGCAATAATAGGTTCCTAGAAAAAAGCTTAGAATAGCAACCCAATTTTTGTTCTACTCCATTTTAAAGCACTATAATTTGGTAGTAATGTTTACCTACACAAATTAAAATATTTTATTTAGAGTACGTAAACACTATTAGTTCAGCGATTAACAAACCAATCAGGATTTTCTTGTTAAGAATATAAAAAGACAAATAATACAAACTATCTGTATCAATGCACGGAATCTTATGGGATAAGTAGAGATAATGTTGCATAGGATTTTTTTTTACTATACAAAATTGTTTTAATTTAGGATAAAAATTAGGATCAGTAATTAAGTATGTAAGCCCTTGTCTCAAACAATATTGATATAAAATAGTATAGTAATATACCTACATAATTCATTATCATTTTAAAGTAGTAATAATATATAATATAATACTTTATAATTACAAAAAATATATAAACTACATATATTCCCATTGCAGACGTACACATACACACAATGTAAAGGGTATATTTATAATAATATTTTTGTTGCTTATAAACTATATTATCATAGTAAGTAACCCGTTTATGTATATATTTGAATACATAATATGTGTACATTTGAAATCAATTATATATGTAGGTATAATCCATGAAAACTGTGAAACTTACATAGGGCGGAAAATCTGCGCGGCTCTTGTATTTTCACTCACTGCTTCATTCACTGAATATTTCAATCAAATAATTATTAAAGAAATTCAGTTCCAAATGCACGTTAAATAAGTCTTCATGATTATTTATGAATTAATCAAAGACATGAAAACTTTATCGGAATTCTAAGTTGTGGTCGCGCGTGTCGGAAGGTTATATAGGAGGGGTAGAGGACGTTGCGCACTGTGCGTCGCGGCCGGCGCCTGGCACCTGACTGAAACAAACGAGGCTCGCGCGCCACGACCTACCCGACTGTTCATTCACACTTAACGTCTTTTTTTTCAAAACTCAGATATAAAAAAGAGGAGTAGCAGGTCGGGTGGAGGCTGAGCAATAAAGAAATGATTTGATGAAACGGCCACTTGACAGGTGACTCGCGTCGCATCCTCGCATACACCAGTTAATTGTCGGTTGCACTTACGTTGACGGCGCAGAGGACTCGCTGAAAAATGACTTTCAAGTATTAATGCCCACAAATAAGCGGTTGCTGCTTGTGTGACATTAAAATCGAGTGTTATTATACGTGGATGGCGTTTGTCGCGGATGGACCGGTCTATCGAGTTTCAGATTAAAGAGTTTGTATAGATTTACTGTAAAATAAGATTAGATTTGTATGAAACCGCTGAGGAAATCTAGTAAATCGAGAAGGAATAACGTAGCTTAGATTTCCTACAGCGGGTGCCCCGCCCATTGCGCGCCATTGGTTGGCTGGCTAGCGCTGGGCGTGGCGATGTTTAGATGTCTCTACTTAGAACAATTTTCACGAAGTCTCTTTAAATCACAGAACACTTTTCTTCTTATACAATAGTACAAGTGCTGTGTACGTACGTACGTATCTTAAATTATTGTGATTTTAGATATATAGGTTTTAGATAAAAAAAATCAAATCTGCTTCTGTGCTACAAACTAAATTAATATCTAGTACATTACAATATTTGTATGACTACTTTTATTAGGGTACATACGAGTAGGTAGGTAGGAAGGTAGGTAAGAATAGCTAGAAGTTTTTTTTTGCAGAGACACCTAGGCTTGCCACCTATATTATAGATATAGCAATGTCAAATGAATAAGTTTTAATTATAGTATAACTGTCAAAAGTATAAAAGAAATGGAACTTAATTAACTTTAATTATTATTTTATTAACTTTTATTTAATTCAACTCTAATTAACTATAGTGAATGGATCAGATCTCTTTCTGTAGCAAGTTGTCGACGCCGCCTAACAGCACTGCATGAAGCTATGTCAATTGGAGGCAGCGAGTATTGAAACGAGTTTAGTACACCGCGAGCGTCTACACCTGCAACTGTCGTTTTGAAAGTAATAGCGGCTGCTAGCTATTTCTAGAGTTCCGTAACATGAAGGTTGGATTTACGTAACTGCTTTATTAGCTATTTATATCGGTAAATTTAAAATTATATAAAGACATGATTAAGGACAGACTTTTAGCATGTACAAAGGATCCTTTATGAAAGGTGTATATACATTTTATATACAGTGTGTAGTATTTATGGATAATATCTAATAATAATAATCTATTTATCTATTATATTTATTCTCTATATCTCTATATTTATTATATAATACTACCCATAATGTAATAATTGTTAGGTTTTGGTAGTTGAAAGGTATTAGGATAAATATTGTCTAGGTATTAATAATATTATTCATATAGGAATGAGGAGGATAATAATAGGAGGATATCTTTGTCCTTGAATGCTGTAGTGAAAATATCCAACTCATAATGAATAACATTTTTATTTTTTATTACTATAACTATTGCTACAATAGTCAGTTACAATTGATATACGGAACCTTATCTATATCTATACAAGTAAACAAATTTGAAAGTACCTATATAGAGTACGGAATACGAAATTGTATATTGTTGTAAATATAGAAATCATAGTACTATAAAGTACTATATTTTAGAGCATTTGTCGTTATTGTAGAGATACCCAGATACTTCTTTCTGTAAATATGCGTAACTAGAGAGGACACGACTTAAAACATAACACTCTAAAGATATTATCGTTAATCATGTTTTACAGTTGATTAACCAATCGTAATAGCAATCTCAGGAAATTCAATTACGCGACTAATGTGCTTTGGTTGCAACGTGTTTTGTTACGTACGAGAAATGTTTATGGTTTCAGGGGGAAGTGCTTCAGTGAACGAAGCAGAGAGGGTGCAGGCGCGCGCGGCACAGTGGAAAGCCTCGAATGTAACGGTGAGCGAGTGGCGTTGGGCGGCAAACTAATGCGGGAGTGGGCTGAGATGTAGAAATGTTGCAGACGGTATGTACCGAGAACTACGTAAGTACGAGGCTTGTAAACGAACTACATTGTAGTAACTTAAAAATAGTTTTTTTTTGGAATGGCAAATAAGCTAAGGATATACCGGATAGTAAGCAGTAACCGTTGTTTATATTCACGAATAGCACTTCGGACATCACGTTATCATGTGACACTCGTGATCCTACTCATTGCCAAACTTGAGAATAATTGTCATGCCATTATTAAATACAAAATACAAAACCGCACTAAAAAGAAGATACGAAAAAGTATAAACCATAGATACTTATGACCCAAAATAACTATACTTTGGTCTAGTTACTTGTAATAAGAAAGTATTTCTGACTCCTAATGTATAACTCACGCTAGTTTGGAAGGTAACCTACCTTAGAAGGTTTAAATAAATAAATAAATGCACATATGTGGTTGCGTCCTAATAAATATATCATAAATAACTAGTAATCAGTGCTACTCGGTTTTATAACTAGTACGTACGGGTACTATATTTGTCGTTACTTTTACATCTCTACTAAGGAGACAAGGGACGAGGGCGCGGGTGGCGAGGAGCGTGCGTCACGGCCCGTTAGCGCGGATCCTCGGCGCGTGCACATGTCGCCCCGGCACGCGCCCGCGCCACTTTTTATCATTCTTTTTCTGTTGCCGTTTTTGTTGGGTCCCTTTGTTCGAATTTCGAATTTAAGCCTCCTTTTTGATTTTCGAGCGACTTAATGAAATCAGATTTGAGATATCGCTAACGTATTTACGGTTCTTTTGCTCTACAGCAGTAACGGTCAAGCGGCTGTTCTTTTCTTTATAAGTAATCAATTGGTTAGGTACATATTTATTAAACCAAAAAAAACTATTGTTTTGGATGTGGTTATAAGTTGTAACTTTATTTCATTCATCATATAATATCTTGATATCTTACTGTCAAAAATGATTGAATTCTATTTATATCGTATTTAATGAAACTTTATTTCTTATTTACGGTAGGTACCGTACAAAGTAGGTACTTTGTTCTATTTTTTTAGAATATCAGAATCAGAAGAATCAGTAAAAAAATAGACGTATAGTGTTTAATAGATAAATACTATACGTCTATTTTTTACTTCCTTCTGTTCCTATACCTATACACATTACTTAACATCAGATCGTGATCAGCAAACATTTAGATTCTTACGCACTATGTAAGAACCATTTTTTTACAACTAAATTAATAACGAGTTGTAATATGAAGGTTGTAAATTGAAAGACTTAACTGTATTGCGGTGTGTAAGTGCATTGATTCTATTTTTCTCTCCTTATATCACTTGTAACAACTTATTTTTCCTTTGTTCCAATAGTCAGCTTTTATATATGTCCACTGAAAATAGTAAGAGGTATTGACGTCATCATACGGAGATACTACCTAGATTTATATAAATACTTAGGAGTCCATAATCCGATTGCCATGGATCTTGATCTTTGGAGCTTGGATTCACTTAAAGGTGGCTTATATGAATATAATCCTCTTATAAAAACTCCAGATCTTTTATTCTCGGACCTGATCTCCGTTCTTTATTAATTAGCTACATGAACACGACTGTTAATAGTAGAATATAAAGTACATGAAGGATCACTCAAATTAAAAAAAATTGAGTTATTTTTAAACGACATAGGTCATGCAGGCTGATGGCTGAATATAAAATATACAAACTTACTATTAACACTTAGTAAATAGTACAATAAATTGAGTTACTTATATTACTTAAATAATATATTTTTTTCTAATTAGACTAACCTAATCTATTAAAAATATAATACCTACCTACCTTTTTTTCAAATTCAAATTCAAAAATAATTTATTCATGTAGGAAATTTTAGCCGCTTATGAACGTTAAATCTTTACATTTTAATTTTAATTTTTTCCCAACCGTCCAGATCGGTATATAGATCAAATTAGAAAGAACTGGCAAGAAACTCAATTGAATTACCTATATTAGAAATGCTTTGGAGGAAGAATGGAAGAAAAATTTAAAATAAAACTCAATCTCGGAATAAACCAATTCGGTAATTTTAAATCTTTTAAGGTACATAAATATTATTACAAAATGCTGATAAGATTGATTTTAAGTTGATTGAAGATATTACAATAACCCTGTCAATTCTTTTGACTACTAGTGGACAAAAATATTTTTACTGATTTGCAATTTTATCACGATAAACGAATAAATCAAAATAAAACACTGGCAGTATTGACGTTTCAGGTGCTGGCATGGAACCGGTATCATGCGATCGCCTAGGGGGAGTGGAGAGGGGGGGCATGTAAGCGACGTGCGACAGAGGCGGCTGTGGCTGCCTCAACTCGCCATTCCTTTTAACATCAGCCTTTATTAATTGGGCAGATGAGAGCCACGGTTTTCATGATGAATGCTTATCCCTTATACGGAGACTAGTTCGCGAAACCTTTTATAGATTCTCAATTAAAAGTGTCTATTATAGTTAATAGGGCGATCGGACATTGTAGTGTTTATAGAAACAGGAATATTTGCTTTAAGTTGAAATAAAAAACAGGTAATATAACGGAAAGGACGATTAAATGGAATAAAATATAGCGTGGGGGTGCGGGCGGCAGGTGGCTATGATGAAGAGATGCTACGACGCACACAATCGATATCGACGCCACTACGGCACTCAATCTATTTTAAATATTAGATAAGAACTTACATGTATAATAATATTTATCTTTAAGAGCATTTTTATTTATTCCTATCTATATCTATATGATGTCAAGAACAGCTTCCTATATTTTCATATATAGAGTCCATAATTTTAGTTTTCTAGAACATAACTAAAGGCTAACCACCGGCTTAGTTAAGTACTTCGTAGTATATAACCTGCATTCGTAAATATATTTCATACAAAATATTTTCTTATATAACATTCTAACAATCATTTTATACAATAGGACATTACATTCAAGTAATACTATTAAGTAACGAGTACTTTATAGTAACAGTAAAGCTTTAACACAGATAAGATTTAATGTAAACATTTTATGCGAGTACGCAAAACTTACATTGAGTAAATAGCTTGTAATAAGGTTGTAAATCAATAATGAGTCGAGTTATGGTACAGTATAATATCAACAGTATATATATTGTATCGAGCGATACTGACATTATCAAATCATAATACATATCTAGAAGATTTCAATAATTTATAATTCGTATATTTTATTTTATCGATGTCGACAGGTAAATCGATAAGTAGACATCGACAAAATGACATTGGAGTTTACAGCAGGTCTACAGAGCACCCTGTCTTGACGGTCAAGATTCACCACACGACTCGCGTGGCATCTGCACCCCTAACGGATTTGTACGTTTGCGCGTGCCGACCCGTTCCGGGCTACCTACCTCAAATCAAGCCTTTAAAATTTCAAGGAATAAAAACATTCATTTCGTTTATTGACCTTAAATTTATTCATTTTACTTTTTTGCCAATTCAGAACATGGATCCGCGTCACTTACTAATTTCTTCATAAAGAATGTTGAATGTAGTTTGGATTCTTCAGTTCTGTATTGCTTGGGTATATGTTGTGTTTTTAATGTATTCACTAAGTTATCTTAATTAATTCAATTTATTAATACCACAATTTTTGTTTGTATTTATTTTTCTCTCCAATTTTTTCCATTGTATATTATCAGTCAGAATTAATCCAACAGTATTTCAATATATTTAAACCTAGTTATTGGTCCTGTCCATTCATGGCCATGCTTCTTTTTTGCAGTAGGTACCTTTAACGCGTAATGCAATAAAAACATAACGTAATGTATCAGCGTGCAGTTGTGTGTATTAATAAATTTATGAAGATGTATTATTGAGTGCGTGCAATGATTACACGGTGAGATGCGATGAGATACTTAAGTCGTTATAACAAAAGTAGGTATCCACAGAGACGTAATGTCGAGTATTGCAAGTGGCTTTACTCAGACGCCTCTAGCGGTAATCTTCTGTATCCAGTAGTTGTTACAAAGGCTTCTTATTTTGTGCTAAAATAATTAGCTTTCAGTATTAAGGAAGGATGTCGGAATTGGTGTAATTCAGATAAATGTTGGACAAAATACTATTTATTCAATTAAAATTTTCTCGTTCAGAATGTTGCTAAGATGATGTAAATTGCCGATTATCAAAATTAGATACATGTAAAATAATATAATTTTAAAAATTATAATAAGTACACATACATAAATTGATAGACACTCACATCACTTGGTTTCCAACATAGGTTTTTAAGTATACCTGTATTATTCTTAAAATATTAATTTCTAAAGAAAAATTAAGTTCTAACTGGCTTAGGTAAATGAAATACTAACAAAGAAACTAGTTTAGACATTAATTAAATAGATAGAATTCCAATTTATAACGTAATAGAAATATATAATAATAAATTATAGCATAAAAATTACACATTATTTTTTATGCTTGCTAGTTATAAGTCGATATAATGATATGAATGTATACTTTACGATATATGTTAGTCTTTCAGTACTATATAGTAGCAATTTACTAATAATTGTAACATTATTACGAAGAATCCTAATTTACTGACTGTTAAATATGAATACCGTTTGAAAAATAAGAAATTTATTACATAAAATGATTGTAGGAATTTGCTCGCATGCATGTGATCGTCGCAGGTGGCCGGTCATTAGTAGATTGTTTTGTTAAATAACAGTTCCTTGATCTGTGTTAGTGGAAGAAAGGTTGACAATTTGGTGCTGATATGTCCAGCTGCTATTAATGATGTGAGTCTTCGTTATGAGGAGGTAATATCACCTCCAAACTCTACAGTAACACGTTTGAGATTATTTCCAGAAATTTCATGCTAATGAATCATACTGAAATAGGACCCTAAAGAAACAACAAAACAGTTTGACTTATTGCGATTTTTAAATTATTAAACTATGTAAAGTATTACGAGTTGTTTTATCAAGAAAACAATTTATTAATGTAA